GGATGAGCTTACCGAGTCTCAGAAACAAGTGGCTACGAAAGAAGAGTCAGCTATGCACCTTCGAGAAAGCCTGGACGAAGAGAAAGCCAAAGTCAGTGCTCTTGAGAAAGATGCCGCTGGCGCTCGGAGTCAGCTGGACCAACTTCGTGCCAAAATTGCACACGGCGAGACTGGCTCAGAGAGCTTGCGGAAGCAACTGGACGAAGTTGAGCAGAATGCCAGAACCATCAGCGAAGAACTTGCTTCCAAGCAATCACAGGTGGGCAGCCTCGAAGAGGAGCTTCACATGTACCGCGAAAAGCTCCAGGTGTCACAAGATCATCACTCGGCGCTGACAGGAAGATTTGACGCGCGGACTGACCACACGAAGGACTTGACGCAACGTATTTATGCTCAAAACGATCGAATGTGTCGACTTTTAGAACGGCTTGGCTTTGCTGTTACTCGCGACGAGGCCTCCTCGGCGATGACCTTCACCAAGGTCCCCAGGGCCGAGCGTGGCTCTATGAGCCAGACACAAGTTGCCAATGATTCGTCTGACCCAGGGCAGCCATCGATCCGCCGTTCTTCCACGTTCCAGAACCGCAATTTGGCTGACAGTACCGACCTGGAACTACTGTACTGGATGAACAGTAGCGAGATTGGAGCTGAGCAAAACAAGTACGATGCGTTCATGAATAAGTTGGGCCACTTTGATATGGACCAGTTCGCCGAGACAATTTACCGCCGCGTCAAGGACGTTGAGCACCTGGCACGAAAGCTTCAACGCGATTCTCGTGCTTATCGCGAGAAGGCTCGCTCCTTGCAAAAGGATGCTCACGAGAAGATTGCTTACAAACACTTCAAAGAGGGTGATCTCGCGCTCTTCCTTCCTACAAGGAATCAAAGCTCGGGGGCTTGGGCTGCCTTCAACGTCGGTTTCCCGCATTACTTCCTGCGCGAGCAGGATAGCCACCGACTGCGGTCACGAGAGTGGCTCGTGGCGCGCATCTCGCGGATCGAGGAGCGAGTTGTTGACCTCTCCAAGAGCCTCCACAGGCAGCTCCCGGACACGGACTCTTTCAACGACGAAGACGATAATCCGTTTCAGCTGTCCGATGGACTGCGGTGGTACATGATCGACGCTGTGGAGGATAAAGCTGGGGCGCCGTCGACACCTGGCCTCGGCAAGTCGACTATCGCCACGAATAATGTCGAGGCTCGCGCCGACATGCATACCCACGCGCAAGCCAGCGCAAAGGACAAACAGCGGGCTGCGGGCCACAGCATCGAGGGCGTCAGTAAGGCGCTGTCCAAGAGCTTAGAAAGTCGGCGTAGCAGCACAAATTCGAAGAAAGCCCTACCCCTCGGTGCGGGCGCGCATCTTCTCAAAGGCAACGCTGTTGCGAGCGAGACCAACTCCCTGCGCACGGCGCCAGCGGAGAGTCCGCCTGCGCAGGAGCCGCAGGCGCCAGAGGCCGAGGTACGAAACGATATCGATTCCCTGATGGGGCCCTGAGCACCGCTGATCCAAGGGGTGCAGGCGTCTGGGCCAATACTCGCGCGCGAGACGAGCGGCGTTAGTGAAGCGGCATCGAAGAGGAGTGTGGTGTGGGATCCGCTATGGAGCGTGGATGTAGCGTTTGAGAGTGGAGGGAAGCCGACATGATGTGGTTTTGCATGGTGTATCGGTCATCATAGACCCGAGACGCCCTACGTGTACATCGTACTTGGGGTTACTCTATGGCATGTAGTACTATTCCTAGCGCTGTTTCTTCTTTCATATAGCATTTCGGTGTTGGTGGTTGGGCACTGGGCAAGCGACAGAATACAATTCAAATTGTATAGAAATGAGTTGCATGTTATTGCCTTCTCTGGCTAAGCCGGCGAAACGTAACCGGCTGTCAGTCATGGTCCGTCTCGGTGCCATCCAGGAGAATGCGGGTTGTGACACGCCACATGTATTTACATATAGTAGCCCGCAAGCGGCGGTAGCGTATTGCACAGTTTGACATACTGTCGTTTTTGTTTTCAATCAATTGGTATTCAATTCGACTTTTGGGTTGAACAGCACGCCATATCGTCCTTGTCAAAGGCTCATGTCGCCGGTACAGACATGTCATTTCAGATGAAGGTCGTCTGCAGCTGCCTCTTCAGAATTAGCACTCAGAAACGCTAGCATCACGAATGCACGTGTCAATCGAGGCTTCCACCGTGTTTTCTCCAGAGACGATTGGTAATGAATAGACGCTTTCCATCGAATCAAGCTGTGATTCGAGAAGCTGTCTACTACTCACACAGATATAAAGCATTGTTCGCGTGTGCTGGCGACTTGTTGGGAAACAGCTATGAGCCTGTCCAAGCTTCTTCGAGCGAAAGGCACGCCTGACTGGCCTGTCCGATTGACGAAGTCGATCACAGATCTACTAAGCAAGGGTGCCATATGGCACTCGACACCCTCAGTTGGGCTACCTTGCGTCAAGAAATGGCTTACATGATTTGCCAGGCTGGCGGAGGGTTTTCCTCCGCGTCGACGCCACCGTTAGGGAGGCCAGCCGAGTGAGAGCCCCTTGAGATGGGGGTACTGGACAATGCCCAGAATCTGGCTTGAAACCCCGAAATTCTTACCATGGAGGAGCTCAGCTGAAGAGCGTGCAATGATCCAAGCTGTCTTGACGCTGTCTTGACTCTGTTGCAGAACTACTGGCGACATCGCTGCCACCATGCCAGAGGCCGCTGTCTGTGTTTCTACGAAGGAATGGAGTGGAAGTGAAAGGCTGTGGCGCACTGCGGCCACAGTGGCTGTGTCCCCGTTGTCTTGAGACCGGTCTCCTCCTGCCAGCACTTCATCAGACACCACTACCACTGGCCGCACATCGCATGTTGACGCATATCGATACGTGGAGCTCCTCAATGCCATTCTATTCGGTTCAGCATTGCCATGGCTATCGTTCGGGTCGCATTCCATCATCGACATCTCCCCAAAATGCCCGAGATAGGCGAAAAACGCATTCCGCCAAACGCCTCCATAGCTTGGGATGATGCTTCTCGACGCCTCTCCCGCCATCCCCGCACTAGTCGATTGACTTGAGCTGAGACTTCATCTCACAGGCGTTCTCGCCATCCTGTGTAGTACGCTACAGGACGCACCTTCAGAGAACATTCGGCGCGGCAGCACGGGCATGGCACACGCCACCCAAAGTTCTCGTGGGACATGTCTCTTGGCATCATCCTAGGCAGGCATGTTTCCTGCTCGCACCGACACCGACCAGAGAGAGAACCCGAGGCGGCCATTGCTGTTATTGTCGCCCAATACTGGTCTTTTCGTCGACGAAGTTGCTGGTTCATCCGATCGCCCGGCGTCAAATTGATACAGCTGTCATCCTGTCCTACAACTTCAGGGCGGAGAGCGCAAGCTCGAGCCACCAACTGGAGGTCCGGGGACAGGTAGACACAGACGCTAGACTACAGGATACAGGCCAAGATTGTTTCGTGTGGATGCGTGTTTCCCTCCCTGCTTCTGCGCCGTCACCACATCATTCACAGGTTGAACGCCCCCACCAGCTCCTTCACCGTCGCAGATGCTTGCTTTTGTCACGGTCCTTGTTGGACTTCTGACACGCCCGTGCGCGTGATCCTGAGATACAATAAAGTCTCGCGCGATGCGGCGCGCAACGGCGCGACAACGAAAAAGCAGGAGGCGGGCCTGTACGCCCGGATACCTTTAGGACAATGTACCAGCTAGTGACTGGGGACAGATCCTGGCCGTTGGGTCCTCGGGAAAATTCGATGCCAAACTCGATGGACGTCCTGGATCCACCCCATCTCATCCAGTTTTGGGTACCTCTCCCACCCAAATGCTCCAGCTCTTAGTATAATTCGACAGTTGGGGGCGAGGACCTTGACCTAATCAGGGGTACGAGGGCTACAACTGGCTCAGATTGGGGATGTTCCTGCATTAGCCCTTACGACCAAGGAGTGCCGAGAGCCCCTAGAAAAAAGACTGTCTCGTGTCCGGACTTGGCGACCACCCGACTCGTACGAGGGGTGCCCAGCGACTTGGGCGACACGAGTTGAGGTCTCATGGCAAGACCAGAGAATTCACCAGGAACCTGATCGCGAGCCCTATACTGCAGCTCATCAATGGGGCACTACTCATCTCGCAAACTCGTCGCCTCTCCAGTACCTCGTACACGTTCTACAGAGTTAGAGCAACCGACCATCGACTGTAGCGCAGGGCCCAGGGCGGTGTTACGAGACCTTGCCTGATATCACCTAACGCAAGCTGAACCTTATCCTTTGGTTCACACCACGCGACTGACCTCAGCGTGCTCATCCATGGTATCCCCTCTCGAGCCTCGAGCCACATACCTAGTTGCGGTCATGACTGAACATTGTCAGCCCAAGACCCATCTCCGAGTGTTCTCGCACTTCAAACACTGTCAGCAGCCCGAGGCATGAACAGTCTTGGCCTTCGTCGTCGTTGACACATGTGTGGTAGCTGTTCCCACTTGGTAACAGAGGGGTGGGGGGTTCTTGTGGCTCACGCTGACCCTCGGCCAGCTTGGCGCTCCACGCCTTGTCTTACTATCGCAATGCACCAACGATTTGAGGCGTTTCCGGGGGCCAACCGGCCGGCTTCCTTGCGTTTCGCGCAACTTGACGCTGTGCGCACCAACCCCCCCGGTCGTGGTGGGTTATGCTTATAATTGGCCTCGGGGCAGTCTTGCGTGCCCACCATTTCACTGCGCTCCATCCCGGACGATGCTCGATGTCGTAGGCACTCCGCCCACCCCTGCTCTGATCAGTTGCAAGGTCAGCGCATTGATACATGGTCATCTCCCACTGGGAATACGGATTATGGAGTCTAGCAACCTAGGTGCTCGCCCGACACTGCTTGGCATGCAGTCCAAATATAATAGAATGCTCACTCTGCTGCCTGCCTGTGTGCCCGACTTGTATGCTCTCCTTATCGGTTTTGATCGCTCCAGTCACTCGCTATTTTGCTTCGTTCGTCCATAATGTTTATCAACGCTCCTTCAGTTTCACTACTTGCGACCCTCGCCGCCCTCAGCGAGTTGACTTTCGCCGCGCCTGGCAATGTGCAAAAGAGAGAACTTTCAGCTCGTCAGGATAGTCGGCCGCGCCTTGGCAATGTAGCCTACGGTTCCGAGATTGTCTCGTGCAGCAGCCCCGGCAAGATTGCCCTCACTTTCGATGATGGACCGGGTACTTTGACGGCCGGCATCGTCGACACCCTCGAGAAGAACAATGTGAAGGGCACCTTCTTCATGGTTGGAAAGAATGGAGGGGATGGACTCACCACCGGGAACTACGACTCGCTCCTCAAGCGCATGCATGCCAGCGGCCACCATCTTGCCAGTCACTCATTCAGCCATCCCAACTTTGACGAGATCGACTACGACCAAAAAGTCCTTGAGCTCGAGAAGAACGAGAAGGCTTTCGCTGACATTCTCGGATTCATCCCAACGTACTTCCGCCCTCCTTACACCGCCTGCAACGAGGAGTGCTACCAGGCCCTTGGGGATATGGGCTACCATGTTGTATGCTCTCGTTTTCTAGGGCGAGGGATAAAGAAAACACTGACCTCGTTTGCAGACTGACTACGACCTCGACACCAAGGACTGGGAGGCCGGCGGCGTCAACGCCAAGGCGAGGTACAGCTCTGCCGTCAAAGCCGCCGACCCCTCCTCCAGCTCGTTCATCTCGCTGTCTCACGACATTCAGGATTTCACCGCCAACGGTTTTGTCCAGTTCATGATTGACGTGGGCAAAGAAAAGGGTTTCCAATTCGTTACACTCGGCGAGTGCCTCGGCGACCCTGCGAGCAACTGGTATCGTGACCCGAAGACCTTTGGCCCTGCCGATACCTCGATCGACCCCCCCGAGCCCAGCACCACCTCGATTAGCAGCACTGCGACACCAACATCCACCAAGGCCCCCGAGCCCAAGAAGCCCAAGGAGACCACCAAGACAGAGTCGGAGGCGTCAAGCTCCACCAGTATTGCCAAGTACATCCCGGCGCCCACCGAAGGTCGTTTCATCGAGGCCAGCTCCATCGTTGAAACTTCAACCTTTGTGTCTGAAGATGCATCAACCACAGTTACCCTAACTACTACCTTTGCCACCACGACCGCTATAACAGTCGCTTCTTCTGCTGTCACGAGCAGCACCTCCAACACTACCAGCGCAGAGCCCTCGACACCCACGGAAACCAGCAGCGAGTCCGCGCCGTCGGCCGTTGACGAGGACAGCGCCGCCATTGCAGTGCCTGCGCTCTCCAGGACCTTCGTCGGTTCTCTGGTGGGTTTCGCAGCCTGGATGCTTCTCTAGAAGGGGGCAACAAAAGAAACTCTCCAAGCAAGCCCTGCGCGGTGTTCCTCTGGAGAGATTGGGCGTATGACGTCCTCACACGATTACCATGTGATACGGTGCACGGTGAAATACCCCGCTGGTCTCGGTACATAAACAAACATACCTTACGCACCATGATGGCATCCCTTTTCTATCTTCTCGCCGTACTTATTTGACTGATGGCCCCGCCGGGATGAAAGGAGGATTACTATATTATTTCCCACAGGCCGTCTGAGCTATGCGATACCCGGCGAACATAATGTTTCGTCTAATGAACGTGTAAACTTTTGTTTACCTTTTCATAAACATCCTGGTCTGCGTTTCTCGGCCCATGAACATAACTATGAGGGTATTTTGGCATGGAGAGACCCCGCATGGCGGAAATTATGATGTTGGTGCTTTTCTCGTATTCCTGTCGTGATGATCAACCGTATCGGGCATGGCTTGGCGGCGAGCTATGGGGCGTGTTTTGAAGGCGGTGTCCGGAACGATTGGTGCGTGCCAGGGGGTCTGAGGAATCGCTGCTCTTATTTGCACATGGTCACGGGGACGTTCGTTGTTCGGAAGGGCATGAGATCGCGAGGCAATCGGCGGTCACCATGTTGACATTGACCAGACGACCTGTCCACCCAGGAATACGCAACGGCAGCGTATTCCTCCTGTCGACCGTGGTCTTCGGTTCATCCAGGAAGTCTAGCTTATGCCTGTTATTCTGGGTGGTTTAAGAAAAGTCTTACTTCTTCACGCTTAGGAAATGCTCCCTAAACGGCCAACCTATCTTCTCCCCTGAATCTGGGGAAGAAATTGTTCCCGGCACTACCGCCAAGCTCCGCGTTCTGCACACACTAGGACAAAACTTATTCATATTACGACAGTACCCTGCCTGGGTTGGCTTTTGAGTGTTCATTTTGGTACATAATGTACTATACGCCTAGGATGACTAGAAGTAATCATCTTGTTACATGATGTACTCCATGCCTGGGTACGTGGTTGACCTTGGGAACACGAGCTAAGAACTACATTTTACCTCAACTGGTTCTTGCCCGTGCTGTACGTTCTGCGGCAATCCTATCCGCTGCTCGCGCCCTCTCAGCTGGCTGTTCTCAAGGCTCCGCCCCATAGCCAAGAAATCCACCGGCAAAAAAGTCCTCCATATTAGGAAACATTTCGCTCCAGTCTATCTCATACTCGTGGGCCACGGTGTCCGCCCCACGCGCCACTCCGTCCGGTGCCAACATTTCAGTCACTCTTGTGACGCTATCTGTGAGAGCAGCTCCGGCGATGGGTTGCTGGCTGCCGTCGAGGCGAGGCAAAAGTTTCTGCTGGGCGAGGTTGCCGAACCTGCCCGCCCATGATTTGCTGGGATCTTGGCCCACCCAGTAACTGACTTGCGCGACAAGGTCTGCGGCGCTGCGATCCGGAAAATTGGAGACTGTCTCGCCGTAGTGCGAGAGAATCAAGGCGCCGTAGACCAGACGGAGGCACATGTTGGAGCCGAGAGAGGACTTGAGATGGGTTGGCAGTTTCAGGAAGGTCTGCAGTATCACACGAGCGTGAACACAGGCATCCACTCTGAGGTCAGCTTTGGCCTTCTCAGCCGTATTTGGGGAATCCGCAGTGGTCCGGGAAGCGCGATCGTCGAAGACCTGAGAGGTTGTGGCATGGTTGGACATGAATATGTTGGGTGATAGGCCTTCATCGAGCTCCTGGAGGGATCTCATTATGAGAATGAGAGACGCGGAGTGATGGCCGATCTTGAGCTTTAGCGCCGTCGGAAGGTCTGGATAAACGAGCATAGTTCAGTATGGAAGATGCTCTTTCACATTTCAAGCTTTACCTACCAAGTAAGTGGCGCCAGCGCGCTTCCCAGTCGGCGAAATAAGTGCTACTGGCAATAAACTTTCGTGGCTGGCGTTTCTCTAGCTTACTGAGGAGAGAGGAATACAGAGAAGCCTCGGCTACTAGCATACCGTCCTGCATGGAGGCGTCATAGAAACTCAGCAGAATGTTGCAGTGGTCCAGATAGTCCTTGGGGATGACGGAAGGCCGGCCTGTGGTGGCTGCCCAACTGTGAAATTTGTTAGTGGTCAGTGGCGAGGCGACATAAATGGACGTACTGCAGGTGATGCAACGATATTGTAGACCACAGCCGAACGGCTTTTTGGTCTTCCAAATTGGCAGTTTCGTTCTTGATTTTGTTGACAATGCTTGAGAAGCTAATGCTCAGCATGGCTTGCTTGGCGCAGTAGCCTGTCAAGACCCAACTGTCGATATACTCAGAGTTAAGCTGGCAAGCACGCGATCAGTTCACTTTCAGGTTCTGCTAGGGGAGTTCAACCTACATGCTTGGCAGAAGATCCATTGTCGCTCATGAGGAAGATTCCATAGATTTCCTCCAGAGTTAGAGGACTAATCAGGAGAACCTGGCCTAGGGACATCCTGACGCGGTCATGAACCTTTTGATGAACGGCATCCACAACGAGGTCGGGCCGGTGTGGTATGGCCTGCAGGCAGCACACACTATGAAGAAATGACGAGGTCTGTCGAAGATCACCGCTCGACATCACTCCGATCATTTCTTTCAAAAGCCAATCGTGCTTCCCTTGAGCATGAAAACTTGGCGGTCACGTAAGCTAAGTTGAATCTTCGACGAGAACCCAATGGAGCCCACTCACGTCCTGATGAGCTCATATGCTTCTGTCTCGGTCAAGATATCGTCATGCACCAGGTCGCCTTTAGCAACGCTTCGCGGTCTCGTGTAAACACCCGTGTACCGGCGGCCAATCTCGCGGAGTACTACGACTGGCGCGGAGCTGACAGCGTAGTCCGCAGGGTCCAACATTCGGCCGGGGCCAGACTCATCGCCTTCAGGCAAGGAGGCAGCCTCATCGTTGACCGGGGGTTCTCTCTCTTCTTCTGAGGGGTTCCCACGACTGGTTCTGTCGTCCATTCGGTCTGTGACCGATTGAACGAGGCGCGTTAACTGACGTAACGCATCCTGTGTCTCCCGTTGAGTCTCAAGCAACCTGTGACTCTTCGCGTCAGTCATTTGATGGAGGGGATTCTCAAAGACTTGAAAGTTCATATCTCACTTGGCTTCTATCGCAGACAATGATCTTGGGCTTTCTTGATATTGTGCTACGACGTCCACGTCCTCGCGACGCGAACAAGAGATTCTGCAATACATTGTCAGTATGACACGGACCATGGTGGCCCTGACAAGGGTCGTGGAGGATCAGTCACCGTAGATTCTGGCATCTGCGGCACGCTTGCGCGTGGACGTCGTAGTCGCATTTGCACTTCAACTTCTGACACGACTCACAGGAAAAGACGCGTCGCCGACGTTTCTGGGCCGGCTGAGGCTCTTCGGATTCGCCGTTTGCCACGCGACTGGGAGATGTTGGTACAATTGTGCGCGAACGCTTCTCATACATGTTGACGGAGAGATGCAGACCACGATTGCGATGCAGGCATCCATGAAGACAGGAATGTGGTGCACCAAGAAATCGAGCGTCTACCGCCCTGGAGCAAAGGGTGACAGACCTGTTTAGGCCTACCGCGGGTTTCTAGCGAACCTTTACCCCACACATCCACAAAGTCCACGGTCCGTCTCAGCGCCTACCATCGTCACCTGAAGCATCGTATGGAATATCTCGTTGAGCCGCCTTGAGAATCATGTCTGTCGAGAGTTTTATCAATCTTTCAGCAATGCCCTGGACTTGATGCGCCTTGACATGGTATGGTGTCCTCATTTACCGCTGATTCTGCACACGAGGTACGAGCAAGAACAGAGCATGCACCATGAACTGAGCATGAATAGGAGCTTATGCAGTCTCAGATTCTGAAGACAGGCAATATGCTACTCGTAGACCATATGAAGCCTGTAGATCATTGTAGATATGTGAATAGGGGACTACAGTGTCGTGTCTGCATATGCATCGACGCTGAATTGGTCATATCCTGCAATTCACATCTATCGGAGGCCGTATTCTCCTCGCTAATGAAGTAAGGGATGATACAGAGGATAGAAGGCGTTGAACAGTGAAGTAAAGCCCGTGTGTCGCCGATTGCTGGTCAGATCTTATCTTGTGAGGATCATCGGCAGATGCGGGGTACGCCTCCAGCGTGCTTCGTGAACCACCGGCCGGAGACCGACGGAGACCGTCAACGCCTCATATTCGCCCACCCTGTCGTCTCTTGGCCTCGCACCTGAAGATACAATCCGCAATCGCCATCATCCATATTAAATCGTCAAACAATTGATAATCGAGCACCGAAGCGGCATATTAGAATTCTTGCAGTCTACAACCCCGCGAAAATGACTACGACTTCGACCAAGACCAAGTCTCACGAGACCCACAAGCTGGAACTGGCTTCGGCCTACGGCTCAGTGTATCGGGATGTACTAACAACACCCCCTCGAGATTGCAACAGCACTGAGGTTCCCATCATCGACTTGTCTGGAATACAAGGCAGCGAGCAAGAGAGGTGGGCGCTGGCAAATGTCGTTCGCGACGCTTCGCAAAATACAGGATTCTTCTACATCAAGAATCACGGCATCGCCCGCGAGAAGATCGAAGCAGCTTTCAAGCAGGGCCACAAATTCTTCGCCCAGCCCGTCGAGCAGAAAGAAGTCATAGCACAGAGGCACTCCAAGTTTTACAATGGTTGGAGTCGCAGGGGCCATATTTCTCCAACCGAGTCCATGGACCTCAAGGAAGGCTTCAGCTTTAGGTACGACCCCAAGTACGACCCGGAGGAGAAAGACTTGGACTCCATCCCACCAGAAGTTCAAGAATGGCTCCGCGGCGAAGACTTTGTGTGGGAGGGGACCAGCCACCTACCCGGGTTCAAGGACGCTATGCTCGCCTATTGGCAGGCATGCTTGTCTCTTGCCAGAAACATGATCAAGATCTTTGCCCTAGCTCTCGACGTGCCCGAAGACTACTTTGACAATCTGGTCACTTACCCTGGAAGGTTTGTACACCACATCCCCTCCTCTGCTTGACTATGACAACTGAAATGCCCGCAGCGACGGCGTAATCAACTTCTACCCCAGAAACACAGCCGCAGAGGACGCCGTCCTGGACGTCGGCCTGGGCGCGCATACGGATCTGCAGTGCTTCACCTTCCTCTGGCAAGACCACATCGGAGGCCTTCAAGTCCTCACGAATGAAGGGCAGTGGATCAAGGTGCCTCCCATTCCCGACACGTTTGTTGTCAATATTGGAGATTTCTTGATGCGGCTCTCGAACGACAAATTCCAGTCGACCGTTCATCGCGTCTTCAACCACGCACCTGAGGACCGCATCTCCATGCCGTTTTTCTTTGGGTTCAATTTCAACGAGACGTGCTCCGTACTGCTGAGCTGTACGGACGAGAAGAATCCACCGAAATACGAGCCGATCAGCTGTGGGAATGTAAGTTTTATTCCCAAATCAGAACCATATCGCTTTCCAGAAAATTGTTGACAGGCATGTCAGTGGTGTGCGCAGAGATTCGCAAAGACCTTCACCAAAGACTAGTGTCGCTTGCTTTCCATCTTCATTCCGGAGCCTTGAGGAGATGAGAACCTGGCGTCACTTTGCCCACAGTTGGACACTCCATAGGTGATGCGTGTATCTTCAGTAGCATCAACGAAGCCCAGTCAGGACGGCCCCTTGGAAATATTGCCTGGATCGGGTACGAACCTTGAGTCACTCACGTCTTGAAATTGCCTGGAAAACGACCCATCTCGAGTTCTGCCAAACTTCGGCTGCAGGTACGAAATTTATTGCACGACTTGTGCACTGCTAGCAATATTTTGTAGGTTTTCAGTCGGCGTTTCCCCTAGTTAGCGTATCCTTCCATGCTCGGGAGCATCATATTTCATTCCGTGTCTGAGGAGTTTGCCTGATGGGGTCGCCACAGTAGGCTGTTACTTATACCACAATTCGAATAGATAGCGTCATGACCCTTCAAGCCTTGTGAAATGGACTGACGGCCTCTTGAATGTTACATTATTTCCATAATTGCAGAGCAACTTTGAGGCCCTGCAAGCCACGCTAAATATCTCAGCTTGGCCCTACATCAGTATTTCGGGAACTTCATGTCCTCCAAGTCACATAGATGCATTCATTGCATTCATAACACCCATTCTCGCCAGCCCTCGCACGACCGACCTCGGTCAAAGGACCCCTTCGCCGAACCCACTCCGAAACCGTCATCCCACCCGCCCCACGAGGCCCATCTTGTCTCGTCAGCATACGCCACTCATTCAGCCCTCTCCACCAGCGCTCCGGATCCTCCGGCCGCTCGGAAGCCTCCTGTCCCCCAAAACCCGGCCAACACCCCTCGTGGCCGAGAGCCTCATCTGCCAAGATGGACTATCGACAGGCATCTCCCCGGAGTCTCGCGCCCTGCAGTTCGACGCCACGGCGCCCTTTCTGCTTCCTGATCCGTGCGGAAGAGAAACATGATAGACGAGACGCACCCCCGGAGAGTTTGTGCGCAAAGCGCCCCAGATGCCGCGCCATCCGGTCCGGCATGATGGCTGTTTGGCCGAGAGCCCGGCCCAGGGCTTGCAGGCACGTCTGATAAATATAGCCATGTGCTCCTGATTGCAGGAACTACTGCATTATATCTTCACAAAGCCACGGAATTGATCTGAAGAACACACCTCCGATTCGATAGCACGTCGAATGAAGTACCACGACATTGGTTCTGCCACATCCGAAGACGACGGTTGCATGACTGGCTCAAAGATTTCCGATTGGCAACTTCAAGGCATGCCGTTTATTTATTTATGCCCGGCATGCGCCTCCCTTCGGTCGATGCGCCGAGCCGCATGAATACGCTCAAGCATGCATCTACGCCGACATCAGTACTTACTCGCCCTCACCATCACCTACGTCACTTTATAACAGCAAATCAACCATAACACATGATCCGCCATGAGATGATAGCAAATCGGGATTGAGACTATCAAATGCTAAACGAAAGATTCTTACAATAACTCCATACATCCCTCCTCAAACCGGACCCACACCCTCAAACACGGTCAGTGTTGTCGTGGACGTTGTTACGCTCGGCAATAAGGTCCTCATCAACCATGTCCTCGGGATCGCGGACACCTGTCATCTTCTCAATGATGCCAGCAGCGAAGATATCACCAGAAACGTTGACCATGGTGCGGAAACGGTCGATGAACCAGTCGATTGCGACGACGACGGCAAACATATCAGTCTCAGGGATACCGACAGAGGAAGTGATCATGAGTGTCAAGACAAGGGATGACGACGGAATGGGCGTAGTTCCGATGGCCGAAAGAGTGGACAAGAGGAGGATCATGATATACTGGCCGGCGTCGAGCTTGATGCCCTGGGTAGCAGCCATGAACACGCACACCATGGGAAAGTAGATGGCGGTACCGTCCATGTTGATCAAGCAACCAAGAGGAACAGCGAACTTGTTGACGGTAGTGGGAACGCCACGCTCGCGGACGACGCGCAGAGTGACGGGAAGGGTGGCAGCAGAAGAAGCGGTACCCCAGGCAGTGAGCCACGCGGCCGACGACTTGGCCCAGTAGGGGTATGGGTTCTTTCGAGTAAAGGCGAAGAAGAGAATCGGCAAGATGACCCACAGGTGGATCAGCATAGAACTGATGGAGCCGCCGATGAGAACACCGAGATTGGTACCGACACTGGCCATGTCGAGCTTGAAGAGGTTGGGAAGAATCAAGAAGAACACGCCAATGGGCGCCAGCTTGATGAGGAAGGTAATGATCTTGGTGATCATAGCCTCGACCTCAATGACGGCACGAAGAATGGCGGAGGTTGCGGGATCCCTGATCAGGTATCCGACAATGATCGAAGTGACAAGAATCGCGAGCAGCTCGTCGTTGGCGAGAGCGTAGACGACGTTCTGGGGGATCAGAGTGAAGAAGAGTGTCTGCACAATCTGGTGAGGCTTCCTCTCTTCCAACTCAGAATCGCCCTCTCCCGTGGCGGCATTCTCCATCAAGGGCTCCCAGATTTGAGACGTCATGATGATGGAGAAAGCAATGGCGAGAATGGTCGTGAGAACGTAGTAGGAGATGGTCCACTTCGCAAGGACGGCAGCACCTTGAGCAACTTCGCGCAGACGCTGGATGGCCAAGATCATTGCGCAAATAATCAGGGGGAGGACTGTAAAAGCAAAGTTAGTGACCGACGTTATATTGAGATGCCGACATGTACTGACCAGTGGCGCGAAGTGCGCGAAGCCAGAGAGAACCAGGAATACCGATGATGACGGGGGCAGCCTCAGGGATATTGTCCACACCCACGCCAGCAGACACACCCAGACCGATGCCGATGGCGAGGGCGGCGGCGATGACAATTTGAGTGGCGGAGCCGGGCTCCTTGACCGAGTGCCACCAAGGCTTCTTGACTGTTTCGACCTCGGCGGAAACAGGACCGGTGGGCTGAGGGGTGGGCTGGTCGTAGGAGGAACTCTCCTTGACCTGGTCGTTGGACTCCATGGCCCTTTTCTCCTCGTCGACACCCATGGTTGAGTTGACGATGGTCGACTGCGCGTGTTTTCGTCTTGCGGGTAAGGGGAGGGCTGACACAAGCAAGACGAGGGTTGACCTGAGAGGGGGAGCTGCAATGTCGACCTAGGGCTGGAAGAAAGAAGAAGAGGGGAAGCACGACTAGAAACCGAAGAGGTGGTACCGACAGATGGGCTATATATCCATCCATCGAGGCAATCCGGTCCTCGATGGGGGGGGATAGCCCTTCTTACCCGTGGCCAGCCATGCCCATGCCCGTCCAAGACCAGGGCTGGGTCGAAGACAGGGAGGGAAGCTCAACGATGGGTAGTGGCTCGGAACCAATAGCCATCTAATTACCCCAGAGCTACGCGATAGGAAGGCAGACATCATGTCGTTCTTGTCTATCAGGTGGCGATCTCGAGGGTCCGGTGGGCAGGGTCAGGGTGCGGGACGATTCGTCGCATTTCGTTGGCAGAATTGGGACGGTAAGCCCGAGGTGCGTATCTCGCCAAGGCGCGGTATCACCACTTGGTGGCATTGGCATTTTTCTCTCTAAAGGAAGGTCAGACAAGGAGGGCACCCGCTTGAGAGGTCCGGCAACTCGTGAGACTCGCCAGTTTCTCCATCCCCGCATGCTCGCTCCTGCTCCCCACCACACGAAGCCTTGTCTCGCTTGCGTGCGACTGGCATGAGCACCCTGGTCAGTCTCATGTGGCTGGTCATGGTCAGTCCACGGATAGGCCCAAGCCTGCAAGATGCTCTTTTTTGGGATTCGTCATTGGGCCTAGCGGGTTCGTCCATCGCGTGAGGGTTGTCCTTGGTTGGCACGCGGCGGCCGTTCAGGGACGCGAAGAAGGCTTCCAGAAGATAAGGAGCAGGCAGCAAGTGGGACTTTGGCCTTGGGTTGGAACCCCCAATGCCACCCAGTCAGCGGGTTGCAGCACCGGCCAGCTTTCGGTGGGCATACAGACTGTCGACCGTCTGGACAGACAAGGTCTAGAATCGAACACGCAAGAAGGCTCAGAAACTGCTCGGGGCACCCCTGCCTGACCTGGTTGTATCTGGCCTAGGAGGGCAAACAGTCCAGCGAGGCATTTGGTCGGTTTCCATGAGGAAATCATCATGTCATTGCATGGCTGAATCTCGTGGTCGAGTCGCGGCCAGGCATCTCGATTCGGACGCTAGTCTGTCAGTCGTTGTCACTGCGCGGGCTTGAACTGTGCGAGAGATGATCGTGTCGAGACAAGCGACCGAAAAAGGCGCGCGCCTTTCGGGTTAGTCGACCCCATCATATCTGGGGAGGGATCCATTCGTCGTTCGCTGGGCGGCCGATGAGGCTCAAGGCACGGAGAGGTGTCAAGCGGACAAAAGGCCGGCAGTCGGTGTCGAGCAAGCGAAATGAGCGAAAAACCCCAAGCGAACCCGGCCCGTGGCTAACGTCTGGTAGGCATCGTGACTCGCGGCGAGCGATGCGGTGTGCTTTGTTTCGCGGAGATTTTCCGTCACGTACTCTGAATTTTCTGCTGTCATGAGATCCATCGTGGTTACAGTCGATTGAGGGGCGATTGGGGACAAATTACGGTCGGAGCCATTTGTCACGACCTAATTCCCCCAGTGTGAGCAGCTTCTGCCCCGGATTTGACCAGAGAGCAGACGCGAGGCTATCACGTAAGAGCAGAAGGGCAGGAGTGCAGAAGGGCAGGGGACCGAGAGGTAGGTGGGCAGGTGCGATGGGCATCAACGAAGCCGTGTCTTGAGCGTGGCAGGGGCACAAGGAAGTGCGAGGAAGGAAATCTTCAGGCGCCAAGTGGCCAAGCACGACTTCCTGACTCCATGCCAGCAGCCAAGGATAAGCCAAGGCAACCGGGGGCGAACAATGGACGCCCACGGCCGACGATGCCTGTTTTCGTGCCGGGATGGTGCGAAGCAACGCACTTTCAATCTCCGCATCCGGTCGGCTGATTGGCTTCTCCCACTCCATCACCGGGTACAGGTTGCCGCCGAGAGTCTCGGCAAAGGCTCGGCGGTCTGGGCGGTGTTCTCTCACGACCACCGGCCCCTCCCCAACGTCGCTCAACTGATCCTGCCCGCTCGATGCCCGGCTCACGCACCTGCCTTGCTGCCCTTCTGACCTCCCCATTTCCATCCTGGCAAGAGCCATCGAGCCCCCCCCCCTCCTCCAACTGTCACTTGGCAAGCTATCTTCCCCCATCTCAACCAGTCATGGCTTCCTCATGCTCCTTGGCTTTGCCATCCCGTGCTTCTGCCGTCGTAAAGCGCCCGATCGCCCTAATTCTTGTCGCTTTCAATCCAGTTTTTCGCCGCTGCCAACTTCTCGCGTCGCAAGCAGTTTTCACCCTCCTCCATTGGTCTGCTGTTCCACTTGACCACCTTGCACCCACCCGCACCCACCCTTCTCCTTGCCCATTCCCTGCGGTGACCTGCGGTGCCGAGCCTTTGGTGCCATTTGCCAATGAGCTTAAGTCCAGAGCCAAGTCCAAGCTGTGATTCCCACTGCAACGCATTGATGGGGCCTTCTGCGCGTTGGTCCCCCAATCTCCAGCCTTCGCGCGTCTTCCCTGCACATGGGCACGGGACGGAAGACCGAATTAGGAGCAGGGTTGACCGGAACGACATGGGCAAGTAAGGTGCCTACCTCACTGCCAGCAGGTCAAGCTGCTGGCAGCAACCACAGTACAGAGTGGCAGAAGTTACGTTTCTACCACGGCGACTTGAGTTCTCTCCAAGCCAAGGTCAAACGAAGACAAGGCCAAACGAAGAGAAGCGTGGTGCCGTCAGCCTCCATCGTCAGCGGCTGGGCGCCCTGCCGCGCAGCCTAGGCTGATCTGAGCTTGGCTTTGAAAAACTCTTTTAGGTGGAAGCCCTTGTGAATTCTCCTAGCACCGGCACCTCCAACGCCACCGCGCCTCCCACCGATGGGGCCATGTCACGAGCAACAAGACAGCCTTTGCTTCGCGTCTGGCCCCGCGAGTATCCGCATATTCGGTCGGCCTGCAATATGCCCGCTTTCTGTTTGCGATGGTGCCCCTGCAGCAATGTTGGCACTGTGGTCGATTGTTCACGCTATCACTTCTTCATGGTGACGACGACAGCGCCGTTTTTACGAGTTCTAAGCTTCTGCTATTCATTTCTTGTCTAGAGTCGAGGAACTCACCGAGGCTCTTCATATGGCATGATGAGCGAAAGAACAACGCCAATAGCATCCATGCTACTCATCGCATCAACAAGCGCCACATGTAACCCTGCAGCAGTCGCCATGCCACAAACGTTTCTCTCGTGTCATTGCAATGGGGTGGTTTGTTGGCATTGAAATATTGAGCTCGATAATACGACCGACATAGGCAGGTCCTATCTTGCTCAGCTCCCATGTACCATTCCAACAGGGCAGGAGAGCAATATTTCTTAAGCCTGTGAGCCTAGAACGAGCCCCTACCTATCAATACCAAGACCTCATCTGCAGCCATCGAGCCAAGCACAAGCAGCCTTGATGCGTAACCATGTGCCCACCATTTCGGTTCTGATTCCTTTGATCTGCCTACCCTCCTGGAGCTTGGCTTGGCTGATCTGACGCGTCGCTCATTCAGGGTTCATCGACGCGCAACCGAATCCCCGGCGCCGTGATAAGCCTGTGATACGGGCAGGTGGCGAGATTGTTAGAACAGCATCGGAGCCAGACGGAGTCTTGTCCCTGGCTCGATTGGTGTCGACTGGCTTTGCGCAGTCACACGTCTTTTCTGCCAGATCTCCTCACAGCATGCGGCGGATGCTCAGTAGTTCGCAAGGCAAGAGGCTGATTCTCTTGCACATTGCAAATCGTCAGATGAATGAATGGGTACCTGCCAGGGGTCTGGTTCTCAATGTGCTGATGCATCACGTGCTACATTGGGCCATGGTCAGTGCGCCGAGGTACCACCAGAACCCATTTCACAGCGCCAACCTTCTGTCATATCGGCCCCGAGAAATAGATACACGGCCCTAAGATTACGACTCGAAAATATGTCAAACGTTGCTCAGTTGCCGCTGCATATACAGCTCGTCCATCTCCGGGAGATTCTCTCGACGAATGCGACCCTTGTCGCTGTGATCAATCGTGCAGCACGGCTCGGCCTGCCGAACTGGTACCTGGCGGCGGGGTCCCTCTCGCAGACCATATGGAACAACGTATCAGGCATGCCGTCGGACACGGGCATCAGTGACTACGACCTCGTATACCACGACGCCTCGGATCTCTCCTACGATGCAGAAGACGAACATATTCAGGCTGGCAGGGCACTTTTCGCCGACCTAGGCGTGGACGTTGAGATTCGGAACCAGGCGCGCGTCCACCTCTGGTATGAGCAGAAACACGGCGTTCCGTGTCCGCCCCACGGCAGCACGGAGGCGGGCATCGACTCGTGGATCTCAACGAGCGCCATGCTCGGCGTGAGACTGGAATTTGACGGGCAGTGGACAGTGTATGCGCCCCGAGGGCTTTCGGACTTTTTCAACATGGTTGCTAGGCCTAACGCAGTCCTGGGCACGAGAGAGGCATATGAGAAGAAGGCGAGGCGTTGGAAGGGAATCTGGCCGACACTTCAAGTTGAGCCCTGGCCTGCGTCGACAACAGAGGCTACAGCTATCGAGCTTCCAGACGAAGCGGCTTTCGAAAATCTGTAGAAACCTCTAGCTAAGGCCGTGGATCCAGGCTCAAAACGAGCGGGAGCGACTCTCACGTGCGCGGAAACCAGACGCCGAGCCAGCGTTCCTCAGAATGAGCCGATGACATCTTCCGGCCGCCCCGTAGTAGCCACAACTGTGTGAGGTCGTATACCACCAATCTTCCAGTGCCCGTCGACCACAACATATAGAAACTCGACGAAAGCACTGGAGTCCCACTGGGCTTGCGTACCATTGGGATGCGTCCTCACGTGGCGAGCCCGAACCTGCCAGTCTCCCTTGACCTCTGTGGCATTGGTGCGTGTGAAAAAGGATGCGCCGAGGAAATGTTGAGTGCCGACTATCAGAGCCTAGCATCAGTGTTGATCATTGACAATGCGGACAATCTGCTGACTCACGTCGTATATCACCAAGGCTAGTCAGAGTGAACGAGTGTGTGAAGATGTCATCTGGGCTGGCGATCGTCACAGTGCCCACAGCTGGGTAGTCAGCATAGTCGGCCACTACCTGAGGTGCAGTGATGGCGAGCCAGGTTGATTTATCCTGTTCTGGCCATCAGATCGTGTTCGATCGCATGATCCAAAGATTCGTCATTACCTTTCTATCCCAAGCAATGGACCACTTGTAAGAGAGCTCACGGAAGCTTCTCTCGTCGGCCAGCGAATAGTCTAGTGGTCCGTCGCTCGTGCCTGTGGTTGCTAGGCACTGGCTATACCACTGATTCTGGACCTTGCAGGTACTCCCGGCGGTACAGCAATTGGGTCCTGCCCAGGTCTCGCCGCCACATTGACCCCTAGTAGAACGTCAGATAGAGTGAATAGGCCATGAGTATTGGTCATAGGTAACAAACCAAAGTTTGGCGCAGGTCGAAGTTTCCTCAATAGGAAGTGCAAGGGCCCTCAAGCTCAGAAGCCCCATCAGGAAGAACTGCATGGCCATGTTTTCCGATGGATGAGTCGCGACACTCGATATTTGTTGAGATAAAAGGAATGGATTACAGGAGCAGAGAAGGCAACAACAAGCCTGGAGCATCTACGCTGTCTTTATATCTCAGTCGACGCGACATCTCACACGGAAGCCCAGCTGTCGAGGCCCTTGAGCTGAATCAGCGGAAAGAAAAAGAAGCACCAAGAGGTCGGAGGTAAAACTTCCGACTGCCGACATTGGAGTTGGAGTATCGTCAAGCTCAGGTTTTGTGCGAGGTTAGCGTCTTGTAAAGCCCGCTGAATCATCCTGTCTGGAGACAACGAGCGTGTGGCTCTACGCCTGAGTCTCAACTTGGAAAGTGCTACGCAGCAGCAGCAGTGCATGCAAGTGAAGTGACAGCGGGTTCGTTTGTGATCGCTTGGGATCTGGCTGTATCGTAAAGGTTGTTCAACAACCCCGATGATTGGCCCATGGGTCTGATATGGACACTGACAGACACGCGATAACATGGGGTCAGTCGGGATTTCACCGCAATTGTGTGGAGGTTTCGGATCGTCCGGCAATATAGACTCGGGATTTCACCGCACTCAGGTGGATGCGGACTGTTTCTCGAAGGGAAGGGCGTCCCCCTCAAAGAAAGCCGTGTTCAGCAAGCAATCATCCTGACTTTCCCAAATTGATGTGGAGCGCTAAACTTTGCAGCTCATCGTCTTAATGACGATCAAGATCATCGTGCCCACGTAACTGCAATATCTCATGATTCATATAGAATGCTGATAATACCTCCACATCGATGATAGTAGGTACAATGTTACATGAGCAGTAAAAAGCGATACATCATTTCTTCAGCTTATATAGAATAACAGGATCATCTTAATATGAGTGATCTGTAATAAATATCAAGTTAGCATGAGCACATCGTACAGTCTATTAAGCCACTTAGCTATGAGGCATGGAAACCGACATTGAAGACTTTCATATCGTTCTCTTAGTTGGTAAATATTGTATGACATTCTCGAAGACCGAAAAGAGCATCAACTTAAAATAGGGGCCAGTGGTCATGTAAATGTCAAAAGAAAGCTCAATGAAGGAAACAACTCATAATGGACGTAATTCGTAATGGCCGCAATGCAGGCCACCGCCCTAATGAAAGCCGTCCAGCCCGAACGGATCCCGCGCGTCCTGATACTCCGGCTCAGGCTCAGGATCCTCGATGACGAGACCCTCTGTGATTCGCATGACCTTTTTAACGTCGTCAAAGCAGATGGGTCGCCCAGCTCGTTTCGCTAGGATCTTGGTTGTCTTCGCAATATTACGAATGCGCCGACCATTGACGTCGATATTTGCCAAGACCTCGAGCTCGCGTTCTGAGATGGAGGACTCAGTACCATGCGACAAGAAGGTTGTCCAGATCTTGGTTCGGGAAGGCGCGTCAAGCGCCGGATAATTGATGGTCAGGTGGATGCGCGAGTACACCGCCGGGTCGAGAACGCGTTCCCTGTTCGTGGTGAGGAAAAGCAGCGAAGGATAGTATTCCAGTTCCGTGAGGAAGCCTAGGTCTGTCAGCATTGAATGTAATGATGAAGACGGCGCGTGGAGTTTGGGTTGACATACGGGACACAAGTTTGTTACGTTGCGTCGAAGTGTCGCTCCTCTGCTCGAGGTAGAGGTCGCATTCGTCGATGAGGAGCACAGCGCCCCACCGAGAAGCGAGATTGAAGGCTGTCTTGACATCGCTACTGACCTGCTCGGGGCTACGACTACGGCTACGACGTCGCGACCGCGAACGAGACCTCGATCGAGATTCGTCGGTCTCCTTCATTTGAACGGAGTTGCCCTCTCCAAGCTCAAGCTTGTACAGAGGCGCCTGTATTTTTTCCGCGACTGCACCCAATTAGATTCACAAATGAGTTCAAAAGATGAAAAATCAAGTCAGCAGCAAGAAAACATACCAGATTCAGCTGTCAGGGTCTTTCCAACACCTGGTTCGCCAGCAAGAAGGATAACCAGACCGCCACCTGAAGCGCGTCAATTTCTAGCATTCACAACGCACACAAAGAAAAGCAACTGACCTTTCCCGTTGATAACATCATCAAAAGTGTCTCCTTCCTTGACCTGGCTTTCCACAAAGGACAGTATCAAGTCTTTGTACCCCTCTGGGAGGACGAGGCTCTCAAAGGGTTTCGTGTTCCACTCTATGTCTGATACACGGTCGACATCAAAGGTGCCTGTAAAAGGTTCAGTCAAGTGGCAACAATGATGGTGGTAGAAATCAGTAGCTTACGCCAGGCTTTGGTCCTCATGCTGTAACCCCAGACTTTAGGGGCGCAGAGCTGAAGCTGCACGTCAGTCAGCCTGTTGCGGGCTGCTGCAAGGCCGCGATCGGATGTGTCTGCAACAATGGCCGGCACGTCAGCGCAGCCCAGCGAAACTTTCACATTTCATCTCACCATCATCATCCTGTTCGCTGTCACTATCGCAAGCCGGGACAAGTGGGCCCTTGCCATAAGATCTATGGGGACGACCAGGGCGAGGTGGATGAGGGACCACATTGTTATTCCAACCGTTATTCATGTAAGGCGCACCTGGGACCGGCGGCCCCTGGGGGTTCTGATTTGGGTTGGGTAGTGGTATATGCCGACCTCGGGGCACCTTGTCAATGGGCTCTTGACTGATGAGGAACGTGTGGAGAGGAATCCCATGCTGGCACCTCTTCCACAGTGGTTGAGTTCGGGGACGTCGCGCATGTTCGGATGTGTCAAGGACGATCCTGCTCTCTTCATGCTGCTGGTCGGATGAGCCGGCCTTCGCACCGGACCAGGACCGGTAGGACTTGTAATGCATGCCGGCCAGCCCGGCGAACTTGCGGCCCCTGGCGAGTAAACTTGCCTGCACTTTCGGCAAGTCGTCGAGGTACGTCGCTGGGTAGACTGCCAAAGACGTGATTCGTCGGGTGCCGAAAAAGTTTGGCATCGAGATGTGCTTAGAAGCCCCGCCAAACCGACGTCCAGTCCAGTCCACGAAGCGCAAGTTGAGCCCTGTCTGAAAGGGGTCGACTTGGACCGCATCAACAACGTAGAAGCGATCATGGATACCCTCTCGACCATAGACGATGGAGCCAGGCGCAAAAAGTGCCCAAAGAAACATGCTCGAAATGACACCGTTGCTCGCGAGCTCTTTTGAGATGGCAAAAGCCTCGGCGAGCTCTCGTTTCACGACGGCGCGCAGGGCGACTAGGACCTTGCGGGTTTCGGGATCTTCTTCGTTGGCGACGGCCTCATCGAAGCGGTCCCAATGCCAGAAGAACACATGGAACGGCGCCTTGAATACCAAGTGTCGAATGACGCCGACAAAGCCGTCATACATGCTAAAGACGTCGAGCAATACCTGGCGTGCTGCTGCATGGCGGATTTCGATCGAGTCGAGCGACACGAGGGTACTGTTCTCGCTGTGATTTACACGTCTTCGAATGACGAGAGGTGGTCCAACATCGATCTCTTTCTCCGGCTCATCGAAAACAGGAACAACGACGTGCTCGGGGCATTCTTCGATCCAGTTTACGCAGCACTGGCACTTCCTCGGCCCCTCATACAATTCTTTGACAAGTAATGCTCTCTCATCGGGCGAGAACCTGACGTCTTCTTCGGTGCGAATAGCATCGGCAAGGCGCTCAATGACAGAGAAGTCCTCATCGCATGACTCCGCTCCGGATGACCCTGACACAGACGATGATGGACTCATGGCTTGCGAGGTGTGAGGAAGAATGGTGGATGATGGAATGAATTTGGGCGGGGGTAAGAAAGCAGGCTGTCCTCAGCACACGCAGTCTGAGAGCCCGATATTTATGAGATGCAGCTGAAACGGCCAGACTGCTGCCACCAATGCTCGACGGGCTTCGGTGAGCCAATCGGTCGCTCGTGGGACGAGCATCATTGGATGACATGGATCTTAGTGCGACTGCCTGGTGAGCAGCTTGCATACCGTCATTCATCTCAACCAGCCATTACATTAGCTGGGCGTCGTGGCTGATGAGATCCAATCACTTTACAGGAAGTCTACTCCATAGTGTATTGGGCGCTCATTATGTATTAGGTGATCATAATGTGCTGGGTGATCATGGTGTATTAGGTGCCTACCAGGACGGACGTGCCAGTAGAGGCCTCAGTAGGTGCATCTAATTTACATGGCGATACTAGTAGATTGCATTAGGTACCTTGCACGAGGACAAGAGACAATCCAGTACGAGCCACAGATCGATAGGGTACGGGTCAGATTCGGTGCCAGCTAGCTGGAAGTATATACTCTATCGCTCTTGCGGAGTTCCTCTTGCATCTTATCGCGACGTTACCACACCAGCTCCGGTATTGTGAGATTGTTGCGGGATCGGCTTGCTATCGCACATAGGATCGATGGACCACATGCTTCCATCGTAAATGAACTGCTCGATGAGGTGGGGCAGCCTGGCGAGAGCTTCGGAGGCTGCGCGCTTCATTGTCGGTGATTTGTCAACCGCTTGGTACTGTACATGATACTGTCAATCTCGGGTCGGGTAAAGATTTGATTTTGGAGATGTCGTGAAGAGGTAGGAAGACGCGGGCTGAAAGTCGCATGGGATTGGCGCAAGCAGGGGGTGCAAACTGGGCGGTCCTTACCATGCTGATTTTTATGTGAGCAATCAAGAACGAGAGAAGGGGGCGCGGTCCAAGGAGACGTTGGTGGGAGGTTTGGGTCGTAAAGAACTGGAGCGTGGGCGGTGAAGAGTGGTAGATTGGTTTGCAGCAGTATCGTCGATGATTCACGATCAGTGCAGTAAGTGGCCCAGATGGTAGCTTCCTTGCCTTTTCTGCCATCAAGATTACCAGATCTCTACGCTCAGGGCCGGTACCTGCCACGGATGGCTCAATGCACCTGGTTTATCTCTACAGTATGGGCAGGAACGCAACACGAATCCAAGTAGAGGAAGCAACGACGATGATGTGATCTTGAGAGGCAATCGGCCCAGACTCCACCTAGACACTACCAGAGGCAAATCCTCTCGATGCTCCCCGATTCAGTCCTTCTCAAGGGTCGTAGCCAATGAAATCGTACTCAAACGGGACGCCCTCAACCGCTTCAACATTGTGGTGGCATGTGCCCCTTGTCCCGCATTGCTCTTCCTTCACGATACGAACCATCGCCATGGGGAAGTAACATCTTGGCACTTTGCCAGGACCCTCGCTGCTGAGGTCAAGGTTGTGGTCACCCTCAGCGTTGAAACCGCAGTCCATGATGGAGCGATAGTAAGCGGCACGATTGTCGAGACCGTACTGCGCCATCACGCCGCTGTGGAACTCTGGTAGCGGCTCCCGGTACAAGCTCACACGTTGGTCCCACTGCTGAAGATTGACGCAGTAAAACTTGTTCTCCCATTCGATCCACTCGCGTCCAATGACACCGTCGTAGCATTCCTGCTCACTCGGACGATGCTCGTTGAGGACGAGGACATAGTATGCATGGACGAGTGCTTGATGAGCAACTTTGCGCTCGATGTTCTTCACTGCGTCCTGCACATGATCTGTGATGCCGCTCGTGTGCAGATGCGCGAGCCAGATGCCCGTGTTGAGGAACTTGGCTATGGGGAAATCGTAGTTGTCGTTTCTGGGAGCCGGAAGATTGGTATAATCGTCGTCAATCGTAGAAGCACCGAAGACCGCACGGAGGGTCTTCTCGAGGCCATGCTTGGTTTGGGCGAAAGCCTTGCTGAGCTCGGCACTGATCTTCCCATTGACAGGCTCGTCCTCCTCTTTCTCGACCAGGGAAAGTATCTCGCCAATCAAGGTGAAAGAAGCGCCCTGTCCAAACGAAAGTCAGTAACAGGAGTGGACGATGTGCTGTGCTCGTGTTGGAGAGCGCATTTGGCGTGGACTTACAGCTCCGGGAATAGGACCAAACCCGCCTCCAAGCATGTTGAAAGCTGCAGCAACCCATGCAACCATGTCGTCATCAGTCTCTGGCTTACCACCAATCGTGAGAATGATCTCATCAATACGACCGCTGAGCTCGGTGACTTTGGCGTGCAGCTCGGTGTAGTAATGGTTGAAAACAGTGTACACGCCCTCGAGGGCTCGGAACTGCCAGTAGGCGGGCTTGAGGTCATTGGAGTTCTCGGGCTCCTCGGCCTCGGCAAAGTATTGTGGGCAGTCCCAATTCTTCGTTGCCTTGCAGGTCCCGCCAAGCACGGTACAAGAGTCAAAGGCGGTCTTGCTGACAGAGTAGAGTCCTCTCTCATAGCCCCCATCTCCCATCAACCAATCCTTGGGTCCGTCTAATGAAAGGTTCTGCGGTCAGCACATATTCACTCAATCTTCAGAGCCGCAATGAATCGGCACCAACGCCAGCACCCTGGGTGCTCAAGAGCCAGGGGTAAAACTTACGCTGGCTGATCTTTGCCCATGAGTTCAATAGCCAGCTGCCGCCAATCTCCTCGTCCCAGAACTTGTAAGCACTCTCCTCCGTGCTCAGACTTGGCGGGAAGCACCACTTGTTCACGTCGTTGAGAGGATCGCCGGAACGCGGCGACATTTGCGGGACAGCATAGGCCTGGACCAAGGCAGCCTGCACAACGACAGACGCGATATCAGCCCTCATATTGAGATATTTTGAAATCACTCAAGTGAGATGAAGCGTCCAGAAAGAATTTTGTAAGGAAAGAAAGTGCTTGTATAAAATCGGTTGTTTTTCGAATTTGTAATTTGATGGAACGACCAAGAAGAAAACGGGCTCGTGACGGAAGGAAAAGAAAAATGAAAGGAAAGAGACAAGATGATAATGATGATGAATCACTGGAGGAATTGAGACACTAAATGGCGTATTGTAGTACATTTTGGGGCCATCTACATTCTTTATACTTGGAGAGCAGAGTCTCTCTCTCAGGGCCCGCGAGAATACCCAAGGCCTTGCAAAACCAGCCGCTTGGTATTCTTGGCGCTGGAAGCCATTCCGCAAACTCATCTTTGTTTTTGGAACCTGTCTTTCCGCATTGGGCTACAGCACAAGGTCCTGCGCCCCAGAAGCCTCAGTCGCAGCCCTCTTAGATCGAGAGCTCATCATGATTCATATCGAAAAGCGCAGCCTCTCGTAAGCCCCAGAGCTCAGCCCCGAACACAGCATCCAATGAGGGCATCCTGGCACCTGTGTTGACCCCTGTGTCGAATATTCTGGCCGGCGCCTAACGCATGGCTGCACATAAGCTGCAGGATATGTGCTGACTATTGTTCGGGGTGAATCCCTGTCACTTTGGGGGCTTATGTGCCATCGACGAACTGTCGCCACTCCACTTAATGCTTACAGCGGCAGAGCTGACTCTCAGCCTTGTTCTCATAGATTGGCGTATCGTGAGACAGAGTCAGAGCCTTCGCATTGTACAGAGATCATCTGATTATATGAGATTGTTCTAGTGAACGCGAGGTCGAAACTTGAATGCCCTGACAACTACCAGGATAGACGCCGGGCCAGCCTTTGAGTCTCTACCCCCCTTAATCCTCGTGCATGATCGATCCACGGCGCGTAGATTGGAATAGCAAGCATGCTCGTAAACCATTGCACCCCATCTTCCTCAGTTAGGAACTGACATAGCCCCAACGAGGAGCATTGATAATAATACCGCAGAGAGCACCAGAGAGCAATCCAGCAACAGGCAGAGTCAGTACCCAACCCCCATACACCCATGCAACCATACGCCAGTTGATAGATCTCCAGGTGCCGGAACAAAGGCCAACACCGATCACACCACCGGTGAGACACTGGGTGGTCGAGACGGGAAGCTCTGTGGGTTTAGTCAGCGTCTGAAACCCTCCAGCAGTCAACAGGCCACTAAAGAATGACATGGGAAGGTCTTACTGAGCTGGGTAGCAAGAATGATGGTGCAGGTGGCGCCGAGCTCCATGGCGAAACCGCGCGAGGGAGAGTGGAGCGTCAGACGGTTACCGAGGTTACGCATGATGTGATAGCCGTATGTCCAAATGCCAATGGAGATGCCAACACCTCCGTAGACGCTGGGACTTTGTTAGAATTCTTTATCTCACGGTTTGAGTCGGATGGGATTATTGCGAGTCTGGGGTCGCGGTGCCGGGGATGTGGGCCCCACGCGAATGAGCGCCGACAGCCCCCATCCCCGCGAAATCATTATGGGCATGGGAAACTTACAGAATCCATGTGGGCACAGGGGACTTGGAACCAGCGATAGCGTTGGTCCTCCAGATCTCGTAGATAGTAGCGAAAGGGGCGATTGCGTTGGCGACGTCGTTGGCGCCATGGGCAAACGAAGCGACGGAGGCGGTCATGATCTGAAGGAAAGAGTAGAGGTACTCGGCGCGGTTGTCAAAGTGAGAGACGTGCGAGTGAATCTCGTCGAGATCGCCGGAGAGCATGTTCTTGCGGCGCTGCTGCTTGTGGATGTCCTGATCAACACCGCGGAGGAAGACCCACTTGAGACGCCAGAAGAGAACGGGGCCGGAGCTCCACTTGCCCTCGGGCCGGGGACCGACAAGACCAGCGGTGGGGCTCTTCTCGTCGGTAAGATGGTCCTCGCGTCTGTCGACGGGAGCGGAGGCGACACGACCCGAGTCAACGTCCGAGACATCGTTGCCGAGGACCTTGGTCTCGCCAGTAGGGTTGGCCTCTTCGTCGGCGCTGTGACCGCCACCGGCACGCAGGGCGTTGAGCTCCTCCCTGGTGAGGTGACCCTCGTAGTAATCCTTGATGCCACCGCGGAAACCCTCAGGCTGAACAGGAGGCTCAGGACGGCGGAGCAGGAGGGGGCCCATAGGAATGTGCCAGAAGCGAAGCTGCCAGTCGTCCTTGATGACAACGCGGTACAGCCAGGGGACGAAGAAAACGGCGACGAAGAGGGCGACAGCGGAGCCGACTCCGACGATAAGGCCGGCCTCCTCGGCACCATTGAAGCCGGTCTCGATCGACCCACCCTTCCAGATGAGAAGCATGGTGATAAGAGACGATGTCATGCCGAAGTAGAAGGGCACAGTGGCGAGACCTTTGATGACAGGGTTGTTGCGGACCATGACAGCGTACTTGGTTGCGAGGAAGATGATCGCGGCGAAAACGCCCGACAGACCAGGCGCGATGATCCATGCAAGAAAAACCTGGATGACACCAGCGTTGATACCGGCATCAAAGTCGGCCCAGATGACGCCATCAACGCCGACAGTCGCAACACCCATACCAATGATACCACCCATGATAGTGTGGGTTGTCGAAACAGGGAGACCGATCTTGGTGCAGACAGTCAGGTAGAGGGAGGACGCAACGATGGCACAGACCATGCCGAGCATCAGCATAGCTGGGTTGTCGGCGAAGAGGTCGAGGTCGAGGACCTTAGTACGGATGGTATCGGCGACTCGCGCTCCGACACCGACGGCTCCAGCGAACTCCAGCACGGAGCCAAGGGCCATGGCCTGGATGTAGGTTACGGACCGCGAAGACACGGATGTGGCCCACGAGTTGGCGACATCGTTGGCACCTGGAAAAGAATCACACGTCAGAATAGCCTTCCCAGGGAGTCACGAGAGCAGAACATACCGATATTCCAGGCGTCTAGGAACGAAAAGATGAAGCCTGCAGCCAGCAGATAGTCATACTGGTGAAGTGGAGCCATGATTGGCAACTTTGGTTGTCTGAAATCAAGAAAAGGTGATTCTCAAGGCCTTGTGGTAGGCAAGAGGCGAGGCCAGGCTGAGGGTCAGGGTGATGACTTGGTTTGAGAGAGAGCCTGACACAGTTGCAGAGAGGGACGAGCCACAGATTATATATAAGGTTGAGTTGCATGGGAGGACATGCAAAGAAGCCAGCTCAGAACCATCATCTACCTCGCGGAAAGTAACCTAAATGACCGGGGCTCATGACGGCTCGGGGCTCGCCACGCTTGGCAGGCCACCATGAAGGGCGAGACAGTCCAACACTTTCCTCGATGAGCATCCCATCCGCAGTCTCTGCATCAGCGAGACCACCCTGCATCGCTCTGGTGTGGATGGGCAGAATATGGATCCTAGAGGCCCTGCTTGCCAAGGACGGCCGACCTGCGTCTTTCGATCATTGCCTGCGTTCTATCAGGTCTATTCGACGCCCACTGCTACCTGTGCGCACCGACAGAGGAAGACCAGGATACCAAAAGAGGTGCCGCAGCGGTCGAGTAGGGAGGTGGCATGTCAGTGCCAAGAACAGTTAGCTCCCACGTGCAGGTCTGCCTCGATGGGCTTCGACGAGAGGTAGAAATGGAGACATGCGGTAGGACAAGTATGTGGACCGCAGACCAAGGTTTTGGGGTGTCCGAAGACGGATATGATGCGGTGGTGCAAGGTGCCGGGGGTATACAGCCTGGTGGTGAAGGTGGGGGAGCCAAGAGGACGTCTTACAGCGACTCATTGCTAGCAGCCAGCGCACATGCAACAGAGACTTTGCTGGAAACGTAACCAGCAGGGCATATTCCTTGCCTCCACTCATCTGGGTACAGTCGCTATACAGTCGTTGAAGTCAATGTGGAATACCAAAAGAGATACAATCGCGCTCCCGCGCCAAGGCGCCAAGGCGCCAAATGGCGAGCATCATACGGATTCTCAACATCAAATCAGAGAGCCGCAAGCCACCACGTGCATCCCAAAGCAGTTGTGTGTCGTAACGACAGTGACCACTTGGTCGCTTATTGCTCGTAGTTTCCTTGCCGGCCTCGCCTCTGATCCCTTCATCGTGATGGTTCGTGGGGCGCTTGGCGCCAGAGCATACTAAATTGCCGCCAAGACCCGCGGGTTTGGGAGCCTAAAGCCGTTCCCACGTCGCGATCCTTGGGGGGTCGTGACCACGCACGCCACGACCGGCTGCACCTTATCACACCACACCTTAATCTATTGGATGCGAAGGTTGATTCGCTAGTCCGATGGCTTATTGGTATGCATCGCGTGCCTCCTGGCTCGGACATTCAGCGGCCATCCTGTCGCTAGTCTTTCTACCTTTACTCCCGTGTCGCGGCTCTTAAGACCGTTTTCAGTCCGTACGGCCGTCTTCTACAAAGCAAAAACGAGTCGGTTACCTGCTGAACTTCCTTGAAGCATGTATCTCTCATAGCTCTAGCAGAATTCGAGCTGGCTGTACGGGTAAAAGTGCGAAGGTCTAAGATATGTCACAAGCTGAAAGTGAGTTGTCTCATCATCGCGGACACGATTGTCAACAAAATTCGTCTGATTGGGTGGTATACCCAAACCTCTTGTTTGAAGCCTTCGGATGGATTCATGCTGAAGGCTTCTGGAAGTTCATCGAGACCTTTCAGCCCGGTTAGACCAGGGACATCAATACTCGACCATCAAGGGTTTCACAGGCCCCGTGGCGACGGATCCTGGGGACATGAGTATCTTGGCAAGATATAATCAGGGGGGATCTGAACCAGATGAGATCTGAACCAGATGAGATGCTTGTCTATCGGTCTTCGCAGATGCACACTTGGATACGACCTTGAACTTGTGCTCGGTACGCCGCACACTACATCCATGGAATTGAAATAAGCTAGGGAACTGTTAACCCTTGCGGTTCTTGAATCATGATGAGATCTTGGCCGACAGAAAAAGAAGGGCGACTTCATTGGACCTGCCAGTCTTTATATTAAGCGAGCGCCATCAGTGAATACCGTCGGACGAGATGGCATTCTGAGACCATAAAAGCGATACAAAAAGATCGAGGAAGAACGACTGCCAAAAACGCAGTTTGCTCAGATCAGAGGTTTGCTATCATTCATCTCTTGTGATCCGTATGTTCCGGTACCCCTCATTCTAGTGTGAGCCGAAAACCCTCCAAGTTCCCATGCCACGAACTTTCAACAAACGTGTCGTACTAACAGCTGTTTTCAGGGTTTGGTCGAATGTCGATGATGATCAGATAAAGAACATCCTGAATCTGAGATCAGTTTGAATGCATAACTTAGTCCATAATTGACTGACGCGTACCTTTTGAAAAAGACTTTTGAATCCATTGCCGGAATATTTACTGCCGCTCTCCTTCGCCCTTTTTTTCTCTAGCTCCAACTCCTTCTTCAGCTGTTTCTTCCTCTCCTTCTCCTCTTTTTTGAGCCTTTTGTTTCGGTCTTTCTCAGTCTCTTCTTCATGCTCATCTATGGCTGCCATTTTCGTCTCCCGTTCTTCTCCAGATCCAGACTTTTGCTGTTCCCCATCGGAATCCTGACTTGCTGGAATGAGGACAGGTCCTGCAGCCGTTACCTGTCCTCTGGTAGACCATTTGCCGGCGGTTATAAACGCAACGATGTCCCCACTCGAAGCTGGGTGATTTGGGTCTGCATATCGAGATTTGAACTCTGGTTTCGGCATTGATGCAGCAACATTGAAGCCGGGATTCTTCTGCATCCACTTGGCCTGCGCGCGCCTATCAGAGAAGTTGTCGGCCCAAATCTCTCCACGATCGAATCCGCCCTTCGGCTTTCCGTCAGGCTTAGTGCACATGACAGCTTTTGTTTCGTCGGCCGAGGGAAATATGAGTGGTGCGGGCTCGGGCCAATTGAATGCCCCCCGGCAAGGCTTCATGCGGTCCTGGATTTGCTGCTGGAGTTTGTTCACCATATCGTCTCTCGAGGACTTCTGCAGCATCGCCTTCCTCGCTTGCTGTATGAAGTCTGTCTCCGTAGGCGCCTCGAACGTCTGGCCTTCAAAGTCAACAGCTGTGACCAGCTTCTCCTGGCTCTCTGCGTCGGACCTCCAGGTGGCGCAAAAGCATGCAAGGCCTCGGGGCATGAAGAAACCAGCGTTGATGCGATCAAGGAACCTAGACGACCGGTTGCGGCTGTCGGCCTCGAGGAGAGCATATGTGCCCACGTCCACGGCCAACCCGATGAGTAGGGAAAATGGATCAGGCGCAGCCTCGCCTGCAAAGCCAGCGAGGTTGATGACATTCAGATATGGGTTTGGCTCAAGCGATTGATTGAATGTGTCAACAAAGTCGAGAAAGGTCGCTTGATCGATGCCTGCGGTGTTGAGAACTGGTGCGTACGCTCTTACGAATCCGCGCGCTCTGTTCTTGGGACGTCTCTGCGGCAACACCACTGCGGACGCCATTCGCTCGTCTGTAGTATCACCGCCCTCATATGGATGTCGCTTGAGAAATGCGATCGCTAGATCGTTTGATTCCTTCGTGGACGGGCCGGCGTCTTGTTCACTTTGTATCGTCCCATTGACAGTCGGCTGGCTCGCAGGCTGGCTCCTGTCGACCAATGTAGCCTCGCTCTTGAAATGAGCTGCGTTTTGTGTTGTTTGTGATTCTTCATCCCTCCGCCAGTGACTCTCACTCGGATCCAGCGTTGATGACGTAGGCCCTGGCAACGCGGGCGCGCCATCATTGCTCAGGCCCGAGACGTCTGCTTTCATCTCCAGTAATTCGATGGTGGATGGGCTCACTTGACTGTTTGAATTGACGGTCTTTTGAAGCTTCTTGTCTTTTCGATATTGAATTGCTTCTGATGTGAAGCCGACAACAGTGGCGGCTACGCGGACAAGACCGTCCACAGGATCGTCCTTATCGCCAAGGGGCTTGTCTGCCTTCTTCTTTGAATTACTACCCGTGATGTCTTTCACAGCCTTCTTAGCCGCATTGAGGGCGTATTTTTTACCCTCATCTACGAGACTAGAAGTCATGATGTTCAGGCTGTAATGTTGTGTCCGAGAATAGGTATGCCAATGCGATGCACGATCTGAGCGGTGTGGATCAAAGTTTGAACTGGATGCAGCATTACAATGGCAGATGAATCCAACATTGGGAGAGCGTCAATAAATATCAGATTCAAGGCAGACGATCAAAGACATCTTGAACAACAAATCGCCGACCCAAAACGGCTCCAAGAATCGAGGGCGGGCGAGCGGTGCATTGGTGCCGATTGCTGGGCCTCGAAAGCGGAGTCCGCAGGTCGCGAAGCCCGAAGGTCTGTGGGTGGAGGAAGACCCTATGTGACACCTTTAGCGACATGATCAGCAAAGCCAAGATAAAGCGTAATCCCGCATCTCAACAGCATAGCCCCGCCCCCGGCGAAGATGTCAAGAAAGAGGCAATGCAGTGCGGCGTGGCGACAATTGGAGGCACAACCGACAGGTTGTTCGGCGGGCCTGAATTCACATCCAGGCACTGCTGCGGCTGGCCCCCGACCGAAATTCAGTGTCCGAGGTTCGGGGCCGCACTCATCCCAGAGGCCAACACCGTCCAGTCATTAACCGCAATACGAATTCGCACCATCGAACGCTGGGAAGCATTGCTGAGAAGCGTTAAATAATTGCCTGCCATCATTATATCTGGAAGCAGGATCGAGTTCAGAAGTATATGAGTACTAATCAAAAACAATGCCGAGCCTTCCAGCTGTTTTCCCTGCCTCCATTGTGTCAATCATGCTTTGGATGTCATTAATGTCGTGGTAAACCACTACATGGGACTTGATGCCATGCTTATGACTGAAGTGAATAGCCTCTGGCATGTTTTGTGGAATTCCACTGCTTTTGCCCGCAATGCGAAATTTTCCCAAAAGAATGTCGAGGGCTGAGATGGAGAGCTCGCTTTTAGGTATACCGGCAACCATGAGCAATCCATTAATGCTAGACGGGTGCGTAATTCCGTTAACCAACAATTGATTTATCTCGATGGTGCAAGATTGTATAGAGACCTACCGTAGTGTTCTAGGAGCATCGCCATAAGCAACGTGAGAGGCGCTGAAAACAGCAGCTGCATGACATCCGCCTTCCGTGAGCTTCTTAATCTTCGCCTCGTACTCAATGTCGGTTTTGGTGTTATAGGTAGCATCGGCACCCAGGGCTTTCGCATCTTCAAGTTGTGCATCGGAAATGTCCAGCCCGATAACCTTGAGCCCCATTGCTTTGGCGTACTGTACAGCTTTTATTCGGACAGAGCGTCAGAATTCTCTTTGAAAGCGCTCGTTTGACGCTGGAGATGACATACCCAAGTGGCCCAGACCGCCGCAGCCGATGATCGCGATCCATTGACCTCGGACGAGGTTGCAACCTTTGACGCAGTGATACGCTGAGTATTGATCGTCAATTAAGTTTCTCCCTTCACACTCATCGTCACTTGGAAGAGCATCGAGCAGGCATCTTACCCGTGATACCAGCGCAGAAGAGTGGCGCGGCGGTGATCATATCCATTCCGTCAGGCAACGCCATAGCATTTCGATAATCTGTGACAGAATATTCTGCAAAATGGCCTGCGGTTTGAAATCCGTGTAGCCTTTGGGTACCCTTGTCGCAGAAGAGGTTGTGGACTTGGCAACCCTCGCATTCGTCTACAAAGGCCGAGGTCAGGTCTGATGCGATCTAATTGTGCGGGTCTCACACCTACAGCACGCAGAACTGCAACCAAGGCATCCGACTTTGTCGCCGATTTCGAACCCCCGAACATTTTTTCCCATTGCTACGATGGTGCCGGTGTTCTCGTGTCCGATGGTCATCGTATTCGTTGGGGGCTTCTCGGCCGTGTGCCCCCAAAAGAGCATCTGCAAGGTTGACGATATCGTGAGTTATGCGCCGACGAACGAGATGAAGTCCATCGTGTCTTGGCGCCCATACGGAAACAAAGCCTCAATTATAGAAAAGTACCTACAAGATCCGAATGGCACAATGTGGCGCAAGCTGTTTTCATCAAGATTTCGTTGTCCTTACATCTTGGAATCGGAACCTCGTTGACCTCCACCTTATTTTTAGCCTGCACCAGTTATGTTAGGGCAAGGCACTTGCGTGGTTGTTAAGATGCAGGACTTCTATGGACGTACCGTGTTATATTGTGCTGCCAGCATCGTCTCAGTTGGAAGAGAACCCATGGTGACGTGTGAATCTGGAGGAGGAAGGGGTACGTTTCAAGGGTGCTGTCTGCGGTTTTGGGGTCGATGTCAGGGTAAAGACAATACAGACGACCAAATGATAGGCAGAGTATTCAAGATAGAGAATTGAGTTGATTTGGGGTGCTTTGGAAACCGCGAACTCTCTTATTTAGCTCGTTTGCTGAGGCATCCTCGACGTCGCTCTGAACCCAGATACCCAGGTACTTCAGGACGATTCGTCTGGGGAGCTGTCCACTAGTTTCCCCACAGTCTAAAAGAACCCGAAGCCTAAGGCAGTCTTGAATACCCCGCGTTTCGGGTTTCAAGAACTACCTCGTAGATTGTCGTGATGCCTTAGAAGCATGTGGTATGTTGGGGATCTCCTAGCCTGACTCATGTCTTGACTGACCACAAGCCTCGTTCTTACTCATGACAACGACGAGCATATTGGCGCGGGCGTAACGTCAGCCCCAACGCGCCATGCAACGCAACACTAGGCCAGTGGACTAAGTCCACCGGCTAGGCGTGGGTCTGGTCAGGGTTGAGCAGTTGGGATAGAACCGAACATCGAGGGCATGAGGAGTCGGCTGCTCAGGTGACTGGTGAAGCACTGTCGATATCACTTAGTCATTGGGCGATCTCGCGATATGATCTGCTGATCATCTTCGCAGTAAGCGGTCACATTAATTCAACTCCACACGCTTTCATTCATATTAACCCAGAGCATGATCGGGTAGCTCAGTCTCGTGAGTATATTGCACGGACCATCTCGGGATAAAGTTCCTCAAAATCTCGTGATACTGTCCAATTGCCGAGGCGCTGAATGTGCTTTTCGAAGATTTTGTTGGGTATCAAATCATGGCCTTGTTCCGAAATTATGTCTTCGACATCGTATGGCCAGTTGACTGTGACGCATTGGGAGTAGACACTGGAAAACACAGAAAACGGATATTTGTTGGGGCTCTCGATCAGCATATCGCGAACCCCAGGCCTGCTGCGTCAGGCTTCGAGTCGGTCAAGTTTGTATGAAATGCTTACCATGGTATGTTATCTATCCAAGCATCATGCGGTACCGTAATCTGGGTTGCCGTAGGTCGGAGCCAGCGTGGTAGATCGGCGAAAGTGGACTTCGCAGGGTAGACTTGCCACTGCGCACGGCTATCAGTCATGAAAAGAACGCGTCAGAGGCCAAGGGTCTCGGACTTACTCGCATTGTTCGATGCATGACATACATGAAGGAAATCTTTTCCGGTGCTCGGACGTGGGCAAACGTGGACAGAACCTCGTTCATAAGCCTGCTGATTGGATCGATGCTGCCAGAGAGCTCAGGGTGGAGGTAAGCCTTCAGCGACACATCCGAACCTCCCATGAGAGGTTGTGCGGCATCTGTGGAAGTCGGGTGAGAATGAAAACGGAGAAAGCCAAGGAGAATGTGGTCTAAGGGCGTGCTTGGCGGTAAATGGCGTGGAAGGGCTGTGCATATGGTTGTAGCCAGCTCCGTCTGACATGCAGCGTCTGATACCGAGGGGCCGGATTGCCTCGTCGTCAACCCTTTGAGGGTGTGCGCTGAAAAGGGTACTGCAAGAGCCACGCTCTCCTGCCTGCAAGATGTGGATGCAGCGTTAGATGATTCCTCATCTTCAGAACCCGCATTTTCGTTCCGTGAAAGGCAGGTATCGGGAGAAGTCTGTATGCCGGGATCACCGATCCTCTTTCCTACCTGAGGTGCCCGGGGGAGGACATCTGGCATGGCGAACCAGCCGGGCTGCCACGGCAATCGTCCGTCCTCATCTTCGACGACGGGTAAGTCCTCTGAAGGGGACGTCCACGAAGCTGAGGGCGTTACAGAAGCGTGCAACCCTGTGCTGGTCGCAGTTCCAGACGCTGACAATTGTTGAATCTGCTGCCTCAATTGTCTAACCTCATCGTTCAAATTTTTGATGGCTCTCTCTTGAGCGGCAATCTCTTCAGCATGAGTAGATTTCAGGCAAGTGATTGTGCTTTCGAGAGATTCGACGCGGGTCTTGTTTCTTTCCCGGAGTGCGCGTTGCGCCCTACGATCCTGATCTCGTTTGTGTTGGACTTGCTGTCGCGTCAGGTTGGACACGGCCCGGGACCTCCGTTGAGGCTTGGCTGAAGTGGAAGGCGGACTGGTGGCCACTGTAATGAATTCTCCGGCCTCGGCCATGATGGTTGTCTGCATGAAAATTGCGGAAATGTCGAGCAAAGTGGATAGGAAATGACATGACCAAGGGTAGGAGGCCGGCATGCAAGAGATTGTGTCAGGGAGTGACCCTCAGGATCGGGCCGAGTCGCAGCTCAGAGGTATCGGGCTTCTGGGGTGTGCGTGGTGTCGCGTCCGGTCAAGCGATTCCGCATTCGGTTTGGCTCCGAATCACATCTCAGGTGGCCTACGCGTAGTATCGAGAGTAGTCCAAGTCGCTGTCATGACACGGGGCATTCATAGTAGATGTAGGAGATGGGTCGGAGATCACGCGTCAACCACAAGAGTCATGGCAGCAAAGTGTCATGAGTGTTCAACATTCGCTGGAAAACGACACCAAGGTCACAGAGGCTGACAAACATGTGTTGAAGCAAGCTGTGGGCCTCCATGTCAGACATGGTGTGGATCCGCCTGAAGGGAGCATCGCCTAGGGAATACGGAGGAGAGAACCAGTGGGATTGCCATGACTCAGGGAGGCGAGGGGCGACAACACGCGAGCTGCTTCGTTGAGGAGGTCTCGTCCACAATCTATCAAGTCCGGAAATCATCAGGGTATCTAGATCGCTACTCTAGTATATGTAAACGTACATTTGGTCGTAGAAATTGTCTTGCAACTGCTCCGGTCTCATCGCTGTAAACCTCAATCAAGTTTTGACTTTCACTTGCACATCGACATCATGTCACCGCTGATTGAGCGCCACCTCACAGAATTGTTCATCAACAACAACGTAGGTTGTCCTCACAAATGTAATACATGCAACTACTGATCATGCAATAGTATATAAAACCTCAGAGCACCACCCGGTGAGACTGCCAATCATTTCTTTCATCGCAACAGATCTCATCCTACGGTGACTAAGAGAAGTCAGGCTATCAGTCACCAACCCGGCCACTGGTGAGCTTGTCAGCGACCATGTCCCAGTCGCGGGCCGAGAGGATGTCGACGCGGCTGTCAAGGCAGGGCAGGAAGCATTCAAGCCTGGTTCGCCATGGAGGTCCATGACGGGCCAGGAGCGTCAAGCTATACTGCTCAAGTTTGCGGACATTCTAGAAGCAAACGAGCCATACTTGGCTAGCCTCACCAGACTCACCCTCGGTGCACCTCGCTTACCTTTCGGAAAGGGTGAGATTGATACTGCGATCACCTGTTTTCGCTATTTTGCCGGTTGGACGGACAAGCAGAGTGGCCAACACTTCCCGGCTGACGACGGCTTTTACAAAGTCGTTCATAATGAACCACTGGGTGTTGTCGCTGGGTAAGATTGCCGATTTGAATTTATTTTTCTTCGCTTCTACTAACGGCCTTGTAAGCATAATTCCCTGGAATGGACCCATCGCCTCCATGGGGCTGAAGGCTGCTCCAGCTCTGGCAACAGGCAACGTGTTCATCCTGAAGCCCAGTGAGAAGACACCCTTCGCCGCAGCAGCTCTCGGCAAACTTGTGCTCGAAGCAGGCTTTCCGCCCGGCGTCTTTCAAGTTCTCGGCGGCGACGGAAGTACTGGCGCACTCTTGGCTTCGCACATGAATGTTGCCAAGGTGAGCTTCACGGGCAGTGTTCCCACTGGAAAAGCCGTCCAATCACTAGCGGCAAGCAGCAACCTCAAAAGAGTCACGCTTGAGCTGGGTGGTAAAAGCCCAGCGGTCGTCTTTGATGATGCCAACATACAGAACGCTGTCGAGTGGCATGTGATCCCCTTCTGAAGCCTGTATTGCGATGCATCGCTAACAAACTATGAGTAGGACCGTAAACGCCTTGACATCCAACAGTGGGCAGATCTGCTTCGCCGCCACCCGTATTTATGTACAATCTGGCATCTATGACAGATTCGTCGATGCATACTCGAAGGCTTTGAGAGATAAACTGCATGTCATGGGTGATCCCAACCAAGAGGGAATTCAGATTGGGCCTGTTGTAGATAAGGCGCAGTACGATCGGATTTTGACGTTCATTCATAATGCTCAGTCAAAAAGGGAGGGTGACTTGATTGTTGGCGGAGCTGCTGTAGGATCCAAGGTATGTAACCGAAAAGTCCTCTCCTCGAATAAGACTACCACAGAAGGAAACCAAGAGGAGGTTGCTAAATCATGTCCCAGGGATATTTTATTCAACCAACATTGTTCGCCAATACGAAACCGGGAGCGTCTATATACAAGGATGAGATCTTTGGCCCCGTTGCTGTCATCAATAAATTTGAAACAGAGGATGAAGTCATTCAAAAGTCAAACGACAGCATCTATGGACTTATGGCTGGCGTTTTTACCCAGGATATCAATAGGGCTCTTCGCTTAGCTACGCTGTTCGATTCAGGAGTAGTCGGCATCAACTGTATCAGCATTATCCATTGCTCGACACCATTTGGTGGATCAAAACAGAGTGGGATCGGAAGAGAAATGGGCGAATATGCGCTTAGGGCATTTACTGAGCCGAAGACAGTGTTGATAAACCTCAAATATTGAGGGCCAGCTCCAGTATCTGAGAAGTTCTGGAGCCCAGTATAAAATGAACAGGACTTTGCTAGGATTTGAATCTCAACATTGATTGGTTTATAATAACGATAAAAGTGTTCCTTGTTAAATTTAGTCATGGAAGAAAGGTACAAATCTCCCATTGCAATGAGACCTTCAGCACAATTACCATCCCTCGCAATGTGTCTGCTGATTCCACAAGCTCAAGACTGGTTTCAGCAATAGAGCGGTACACCCATGAGGCAAGAAGATTGTCACTGAATGAATGTATGGCACAAATTTCCGTCACTAACAGTAGTTCACATGGCAATTTCATAGCCTCTTGCGCTTCGAAGCCATGTCCATCGTAATTCCACAAGGGAATAAGCCTATGCAGGTACCTGTTTTAGTTAAGAATACTTCTTCGCACGAGGAATTAATAGTTCGTGACCAATTAGGCTTGATTTTCATCCGATGAAAGCGTAGGTATGACAGAAAGCAATCTGTTCTTCAAATGGCCGGCCGCCGGAAGGCCTGGCCATACACCCCAATTTCACTTGCCTGGCAACATCAAGGTTGTGGGATCAGGCGACAAAGTATCGAGCATGACAATGATGCAACTAAGAGATCTCAATGGTATCGGATAGCCATGTTTGATATAACCAGTAGTTTCAAGGTGCCTGGACTATCAAATTCCCAGGCGTTGGCCTAGTCCGACCTCATAGAGAAAGTACAAGGATCTGTCGTTTTCAACCCACCCACTGAGAGATTCTGGTGGCGGGTCGCAGAATGTCTGGATTAGATGACTCCCACTCGCTTCTGCTGTCAACCGAACCTCTCTACCTATGTCAGATGAGCCAGAAAGGCTAGTACGTCGTCTGAGTTCATGTGGGAAATCGTGTTCCAAAGGAAACCGCCCCTGACTAAGACTCATATCGATTGTGAACGTCAGCCTGAGGTAAAGTGTTAGTTTGGCAATCGAACTGCCCGAAGGAATAGCCCCGGACTTTTCGGGTTGGTGTAGATATTCTTGAGGGAACGATGTAGTTGACAGATCGGCATCGACCAAGAAGCTTTGTATCGCCTGGGATATCCACTCAACTCCCTCATATCTTTCATGGCATTCCTTCATGACACTCAGCAAGATATCAAGTCTCTCCTGACCATGGCTGTCCTGTGGCCATAGTGGTAAATCTGGCGCGACGCCAATACTTTCAAGCTTGGACCCGAGGATATGTAAGGCGAGGGGTAAAGCTGCGCAACCAACGATGGCACTTGGGAAGCCTCTCGAAAGCTTAAGATCGAGATGTCTGCCGATGATGCTCGTAATGGCTCTCATTTCCTCTGAAAGTCTGAGTTGTGCTTCAATTAATGCACACCTTGCGTTAGGCTTACGGCCGAACAATGTAGACATCGATGGAGCGGACATGAGTATGTCATAGTTGTAGACGGCGATGTTAGCAGAACTAAAGTATGAGAGTGAGTCAATGAGCTTAGGCTCCTCGAACATGGATTGAAATGCCGGCTTACTGATAGTACATCCACAGAAGATCTCTGAACGGAGAATCTGCTGTTACAATACTTTGGCTAGTAGTGCCAGACTTTGACGAAGTGCGTGACCCAGCTGCTTCGGTCACCAAAGCTCTCTTGTGCCACTCTTCCAAGACTTTGTGTGCAGCGATTAATGAATCCATTTCACATTGGCTGGTCCTTGAAACCCCATTTTCAGGGCGGGTTTGAGGGTATACGAGGCTCAAGACCTCCGTGAGTGCAACACAAAGATCCACCAGCAACAATACTGTCCGGACCAACGGCCGCTTGACATGAGTGTTGTAGACCCGCGATGCGTGAAGTTCGTCTTGAAAGTCTTCGATGCTAAGACGCGGCTGGCTGCCAAAATCGAAATCGTCTCTTGTTATGTTAATGCTGCGTCGAACGCAGAGTGACATGATGCGGTCACGAATTACACAACCCCACCATAGCCGTTTGGCCTCATTTTGCCGTTCTGGACAGTCAAGCGCATCTTGGCATGCATATTCATGGGCGCCGGCCTTTTTGGCATGATTAACAGCAGTCCGAAGCCATCTGCTGTTGGGCTGCTCACGTTGCCCTGACACTGCCGAGGCCCAGTATGTCAATAGCAGTGCCGCTTGAGCCATTACGACATCATTTGAGCTGACATCGAAGTCATGCAGCAGCTAGGAGACAGTAGTCTGTCAGCAACTCTGTACTTTTGATGGAGGTATACAGAATTTAACACCTTTGTCCGAGCATACAGTGAACCTTCAGCCTCGACTATATCTACATAGCCTAGGCTTCTTATCGTGTGATACGATACGAACTGTGTCATAGTCAGTCAGCCTGATCAAATTGGAACTAGGAAAACCCGAGCTTGACGCACTGGACAGGCAGCAAATAGCATGGCCTGGACGAGAACCATAGGGATCTTCTTTAACAGATGAGAACTATCCGAAACACCAACAGATTCTCCCCGAGCCCAAAGTTTGTGCTCATGTAAAATAGGGAGCATTGGGTGTACATGGAGAAAGTATTTGTTGATGAATTCATTGAAGATGATGGTCGAGGGCAAGCGGAAGCAGCCTTGCTTTTCAAGGAAGCGAAGGTCACCCTTGCGGATTCCTGAGCTGCCCACATCATCCCAGTTGTTGACGTGTGTTGGAAGACTGAAATGTTAGCGCTGATTAAGTTTGAAATTGATTAGGTCACCTAACCATCTGATTCGGGACTGATCCTTGTCAGGTGCCCTGGTAGCATCCACGTCCTTCCACGTTTCTACGGACTCTCCCGTTGTCAAGTCATCCAAACCACACGGACTGTTGATATTTGGTTGTAACCGATCACCCTCTTGACCGGCGCTTTCTTTGGGAGCTTCAGAAGGGTGACGATGTCTGTCCAGGACAATTAGCGAGGTAGTTAAACGAACATACGTTTCATACCGAACTTTGACTCTAGGGATTACGGCGCAGTCTCTGTCGTCCAGTCGGCAATTGGTACATGGTTGACCCGTCCTTGTCACATCGCACCGAACCTTTCTGCTTCGGCACTTAAGGCAGGCTTTCGGAGCTCGTTTTCGAGTACGGTAGTCCGAAGTGTCTATATTCATGATGATAGCTCGGCTGACAGATATCATCCAGGCCCTCGGCTCGGGTACGGGGGATTTCACGTTAGTTAAGGCGATTGGGCCCGGGACTGAAACCCGACTCATCACTCGGGGGGAACATGTAGCGGAATTAGGTTTCCGGCCATTCTTAAAATCATACTTTTCGCCGGTATGCAATTTTTCAATGCGCAATCGAGCGAGGAACTATCCGTTTCTTTATTTGAAACACCACGTTGCGACCAACTCTCAAGCAACCCAGTCTACTGTATGATATGGCGGGGCGGCCACAGATCGTGCTGCATCAGGGTTCAGGAACATTGCAGCGCTTTTCTCAACTACTCCTGAATGAGTGAAGTCTTGGAATTCTCTGATGAAAGAATCATACTGATTGGATGAGTTCGCTCTAAACGATGTCCATTTATGCTAGGCTAGGCACTTAACGCATATTTAAACCATGAATTTGATCATTAATTCGTGTATCGAAGGACGTATGATCTTGTGCTCGTTGAGTTATTAGAAAGCGTCGACTCGTCGCATTGCACTGATGGAAGCAATCGCATAGAGCCACATGGCCCACAATGCCTAACCTCCAGCAACCCGTGCGCTGTGGCCCCTCCTTCCCTCTCACAAGGGCTTTAGTACGATCTTTGATCTGTAGACGGCATTCAAATGAATTGAAGAGCAGAAAAGCCGAGCTTGTGGCATTGGTTGGCGACAGTCAGCACTTTATTCCAATATTTAGTAGGCGGCTTAACGCGGTGCAGGGCCATGACAACTTTGGTTGGGATGATCGTTATGTGCACGATGGGGCATCTGCGACTTGACCTAAGAAATGAGGCTTGGGAGGATATTCTCAGGGTACGAGGCCATGGAGGCATACATTAAGAGCTGCGGAGCGCCAGAGTTCAGACGTTCCTCCATCTTGCACTTGACCGACCACCTGGCAGTGATGAGCCAAGACCTCATCGCTCTGCTTGCTAACTCACTCTGATACCCTCTCTGAGCTGGAAGAAGTAGTCATTGGTAATGTTTCACTAGAAATTCAGCTGCATGATACCCTGTGTGCAACTTAGGCAGACTCTATACAGATCGGTGACTCCGTACCCTTCTCGTCCGGTTTTCTCTGTGACAAGACTTGGCGGGCCAGGAGACTTTGCTTGACGTCGTCCTTCGCAAAGAGCAAGTCGATCTCCTCCAATGATTTGCCGGACGTCTGGGAGCCCGTTAGCAATTGATTGTCAACGCCATAGTGACTTGAGATAACGTACCTCGGGACACATGAAGTACACAAAGAAAATGGCCAAGAAGCAAGAAAGAGCCATCCAGATCCAGATCTTCCAACCGACATTCTGGAGGGCGATGCCGCCAGCAAACACGGTTATGAAAGAGAAAAGCCACTCGCCGAAAGCACCAGCCGCAGCCCCAGCATGACGCAGTTTAAGAGGTGCAATCTATATGTGTTAGTGTATTGGTTCAGTCGGCATAGCCGGAAAGTGATGCCATACCTCTGGTCCGTAAAGCCAGCACACGCCGATCCACCCATATCCAAATACTGTATTGTAAATGAATATGGCGCCAACTGCTGTCCATTGAGTCGCACCGGTGGGATTTGGAAGTCCAATCATAGCCACAAAAACGACCATGCACATCGTGAGGACGACGGCTGAATACATCATAATGTTGCGGCGGCCAAACTTCTCTATCGTGTAGACAAGCGGAATCGTGCCAGCAGCAAAGAGGGTGTTCATCAAAGCAGCCAAAAGCTGGGCCATGAACTGCGAGAGGCCAACTTGGCGGAAAATCACCGTACTGTAGTACACTGATAGATTGATACCTGTTCAAACGGCGGAAGTTAGTTTCTCAACTGTTCTTGGTGGTTTCACGCATACTCACCCATCATTTGTTGAATGGCCAGAATTAGGAACGAGATGCGGATTCTCCGACCAACTCGCAAGTCGCTGCGGTCCCATAAAAGATCCGTGATCTGGAAGCCGCGCTCAGGAGAGCTTTCTTCAAGGGCGATACTTGCGAGGATAGAGTGTTTGATCTCCAGGACCCGAGGATCGTCAATAGGGGCATCAAGTAATCTTCCAATGGTTTCGTCGCCTTCATTGATTCGACCTCTCGCGTAGTACCAGCGAGGTGTATCTGGGAGCAGCAAAACCAGCCCTCCTGCACAGAGGGCAAAAATGACTTGTAAGCCAATAGGAACTCGCTTGATGCAATCAGCCTTATGTCGGGCACTAATAGAACCCTGGGTAAATAGTTCCTTACCCAAGAAATCTGGTTGGTCATGCGGGTGAAGCCGAAGTCAACCCAGTATGCGATGGCAGCTCCAGAAACGAGAAAGACGCAAGTAACAGCCACATCCGGTCCACGTTCTGTATTCTTTGTGCTCATCTCAGCTTGGTATGTCGGAATAGAGCAGGATATAAACTGGAGACTGTCAGTACTTGTCTTATCAGTCGTTATTTGAACTTACACCAATGCCGAATCCCTGATAGTCGGTTTAAGTAAGCGATCATCCTCGGTATCTCGAAAAGAGAGACTTACGCAAAAGATGCGCCCAACAATCATATGAGGAACAGACCATGCTGATGCCTGGAGGCTACCACCGATGACGACGAGCAGGTTTCCCAGAAGAATGCACATGCGTCGCCCAAGCGGCATGCCAATGACTGTCACGGCAAGAGAGCAGACTGTCGCAGCAAGGGTGTACGCTGAGGCGATCATAGGAATCACATAGGTGCCTGTAGGATTCTGTTTCATGCTTAGTCATCTGTCAATCGCACGCTTCGCCTGGGAACCTTGTGAGCCTACCCCCATAGCGTCCAGGAACGGTTTCGTCTCTTGGACGCCGCCAAGAACACCGGCGTCATATCCATAGAGGCAGAATGACTATGTTTGTTTTAGCAAGTTATTGCATTGCTCAAGACTCAAGGGGCTGGTGTGCGCTGCCTTACAATCGCACAGCTGGTCGAGAGGACTCGTTTGATGACCTTGCCTCTGATTCGCTTCTTCAGAAATTCGACCATTATTTCAGGGACGTTGATACGCCTGTCGTGAAGTTGACAATTCGTCGATTATGGAACAATGCAGCGATTATTTGTTCGTTGAAGCTGAAGGTGTTGAATGATGAACATGCCGATAAGCGATTGGATTCTGGGCCGTCTTATGGTTTTGAAGTGTTTACACACAGCCAGGTAAAGTAACGCCGTAGCACGAGCCGACAGCCATTTTCTCGGAAACTGCCTTTAAATTGCTGGTACAAGCTCCCCGCCTTTCCCCAGACAATCCTCCTCCCCAGACTCTTGCGACCCCTAGGCGAGGACCCTCATTCGGATCTGACTCGACCTTCAGCTGGTAGAAAGATCGGTGCCAGACAGCCGCAATCCACCGCCGTCGGGATCGAAATCCCGACCGGGAAACGCACTGACGAACATGTGTCATGACACCAAGCCAAGTCACCAGCTCCAGTGAGCCATGACTAATGGCTCAGCTTGTAGCCTGGAGGTCGATGGGGATGCAAATGGTTCGTCTTGACGTCGGCCTCGGTCTCATTGCGAACTAGCACATATGCACCGCTAATGAGTTGAAATCGGAGAAATTCCAGAACAGGAATTCGCCGCGAAAAACGACCCAAGTGGCCAAGATACTTTCATGACATCGCAGATCATGGCTCTTCTGGATTCGTTAAATGTGTGTGTCGGGGCCACGCTTGCGACACCATTTTCGCAAATTGAAAGCGACGACTAATCCGACCCCAAGCCCATCTTCTTCTACAAACCAAAATTACACAACGTCAACATTCTCGGAGCATCCCCCCAACGTGATCCAAATTATGGGCGAATCGAAGCTCTTCCAACCCGTCACGGTGGGAAACATGAAGCTTGAGCAACGGCTGGCCATGTGCCCTCTGACGAGGTTCCGTGCCACAGAAAACCATATCCCCATGCCAAGCTTTGAACAGTACTACGGTCAGAGAGCATCGACACCTGGTACTCTTCTTGTGTCTGAAGGAACTTTCATCGCACCTGAACACGGCGGTTACGCCAATGTCCCTGGAATCTACAACGAGGAGCAGGTCGAAGCCTGGCGCAAGGTGACAGATGCTGTTCATGACAAGGGATCTTTCATTGTGTGCCAGCTGTGGGCTCTGGGTCGGACGGCCAGCGTGGACGTGTCTGAGAAGGAAGAGATCATGTTCCGAAGCTCAGGCAATATTGCCGTTGACGCCGATCGTCCGGCACCAGCCCCCCTCACGTTGGAGGAAATCAAGTCTACGGCACAGCAGTACGCGCAGGCTGCAAAGAACGCCATGCGAGCCGGGTTTGATGCCGTCGAACTTCATGGTGCCAATGGCTATCTCATTGATCAGTTCCTCCAAGATACCGCAAACAACCGAACAGATACTTATGGAGGTAGCGTCGACAATCGTTCCCGCTTCGCTCTCGAGATGGTTCAGGCTGTTTGCGACGCTGTCGGGCCTGAGCGGACTGGGATTCGCTTCAGTCCCTGGAGCACCTTCAATGCCATGAAGATGAAGAACCCTATTCCTCAGTTCACAGACATCATCAAGAAACTGAACCCACTCAAACTAGCCTATATCCACCTTGTTGAGTCCAGGATCGCTGGTAATCTCGATGTCGAGGCTGCCGACTCACTCGCATTCGCTGTTGAGGCACGAGAGGGCCCGCTTCTTATCGCCGGTGGCTACACTCCTCAGACCGCCCGAAGACTGGTAGACGAGGACTTCCCGGACAAGGATATTGTGGTTGGCTTCGGCAGGTTCTTCATCTCAACACCTGACCTTCCCTTCAGAATAAAGACGGGATTGGAGCTCAACAAGTACAACCGGGACACCTTCTATACCCCCATGTCTACTGTCGGTTACACTGATTACCCGTTCAGCAAAGAATTCATCAACCAGTCTCAGGGCTCCCTAGCATAGTTCTTGCGGACAAAAATCAACTTCAGGATCTGGATCAGGGTTAGAAGTAGTAGTTTGTAGGCAGATTGCAATGCTGTATAGTTTTAACCCCCCAAAAATCGATACCATGCCCGTCTGTGAAGGAAGAAACATGTACGTCATGAACATATGTTGGAATTCAGTAGGCGATAACACGGCCTAGTCTCAACCCTACAGATTGGCTCTACTGCATGGGCAATGCGTTAGTTGTGATCTCTTGTGAGGGAAGACTGTTACCACTTTGAGCCGGAACACCTTGGAAAAGATATCTAATTGATAGTGGTTTTCTATCATCTCAAGTATGCCGGAACCGCAGGCTTATCCTCGAAGTCCGTAGAGTGAGCAAAACCCTCCCACTGCTCCAAATCCTTCAGGGTGTTCTCGCATTTCATCCTCATGATTTGCACCGCATCCGAGCCCAAGGGAATCCGTAGAGGGAGCTCGTCTCTAATCAGTTTTCCTGGATGGTGATTCCATGTGGCAAGCTCAACAATCTTCTCAGCAGCGAGTACGGGGTTTCCCGGCTGAGCTCCAGCGGTTGCAGCATGTATTCTCGCCATGTCAGCTTTGACGGGAGCATAGCATTCCTCTCCATGATTGGGATCCAGCTCGGCCTTTTTCTTAGTGACATCTAGTATGCTCGTTCGGAACTGACCAATGACCAGTAGATGAACGCGAATATGGAATGATTTTGTCTCCTTGGCTAAGCACTCCACAGCCCCTAAAATTCGTCAACGATCTGCTCTCTGGGAGGGTGGTATCGAGAAACAAGGCTTGAGCCGCGGCAGTACTCACCCTCGAGCGCAAACTTGGTTGCGCTGTAGGGCCCCCCTCCGCCTACCCCATGCCAGCCGGATATGCTGCCCATGAATAAGATCATGCCGCTATTTCTGGCGCGCATGTGCGGTAAGACAGCCCTTGTAAGATTTAGAGGACCGAAAAGATTTGTATCAAATTGAGCTTGAACTTGATCCGGGCTTTTGGTAGGTTGGTCAATGACATATGCAGTCTGACTTGACTTGGGTGTTATTATCACTCACCTCAGTTCCTCCCATACACCCGATAGGACATAGCCGGCATTGTTGACCATAACGTCAATTCTTCCAAATAACGCGACAGCCTCCTGAATCTTTGCATCCAGTTCGGACTGTGGAGCCGTCACGTCAAGCTCAAGTACTTTTGCGTTGGTAGTGCCTAAGCAGTAATCGAGGTCTCGGACTTTGCGGGCTGTCGCAATAACCTTGTCACCACGAGAAGTCGCAGCCTTGACGAGTTCGCGTCCAAATCCGGAGGAGCACCCAGTGATGAGCCAAACGCGTCCGTGCTGGCCGTCGCCTTCGCGTACTTCGATTTCAGACATTTCTCCCGGATATGGGGTGATCATGGTGCTTGTGAGAAAAAAAATCAAATCAACAACAGAGCTGCAGAGGGCAATATAGATGTGGAGAACTAAAAGGAGATGTACTGTGTAGTCCGTCGCCCGTGATTGCCGATGACGGGGTTGTTTGCTAGCGCACGGCAAAGGCTAATCGCCTATGACGGACATACGGAATTGTGTGGACTGACTCATGTGAGCGGCGTCTGACCATTAAATCCCCGCACGGCTGGGACGGTGCTTTCACATTGCTGCGCGAATGAACCATGCATTTGTCAGGCAGGGCATAGGACGTGTATGTCTATTTACTCTCTTGCGCTTAGAACTGCTGAAGGTGAAGATTGTCTCGCTGATTTTCGAGACTTGCAGCTTCACAAATCTGTCTCATTCCATCGTTGATGAATTCCATCTGATCCCTAAAGAATATGTCCTTGACGAAACACTCGACTGCCAGTCCGTAATCTCTGCCTTTGGGCACAGTACGACCACGAGTGTCCCTCATGTTGCCGCCAGCCATGAGTGTCCTTACAGCATACACGACGGTCTCCAACGGGGTCACGTATTCCTCAGGGAACTTGTCCCAAATAAGGCTGGAAAGCAGGTTTGTGCGGACTGTACCCGGGCATATCGCATACGTTCGGATCCCCTCCCTATAATAAGGAGTAGCAATCGATCGCATGAATCCCAGGACTCCCGCTTTGGTCGCTGTATAGATCGGATTGAACTCTTGAGCGTACTTTTCACCGTTAGTGACACCAACGCAATAGGCTTCGAATGGAAATGATAATGCCACTGACAAATGAAGCGATGCTGGCTGTCATGACGAGAGCAGGCCCAGGGGCGGGGTGCTCGCAAGCGAGGAAATAGTGCCGTGCCAGGTGACACGTGTTGATAACTGCTTTGAGATTGATATCGATGCTGTGCTGGCGTGGTTCCGATGGCGGAAGCGAGGTGTCTTTGCTGTAAAAGTTTTCCAACTGCAAAATACCAGCATTGGCGAACACAAAATCTAGTCGGCCGTGTGATTTGAATACAACGTCAAACGCCAGGGACAAAGATTTCCAGGAGGCGACGTCGACTTGAATGAATTGGAGTTGAGGATTCGCTTTGACGGCCGCCTGCCCCGAACTCGCGTTCAGATCGAGGATGTACACAATCCATCCATCCGACACCAGGGACTTTGCTACCTCGAGGCCCATGCCTGACGCACCTCCTGTAACCAGGCCTATCTGCTTGCTTGTCATACTGGTTGTGTCTGTGTCAGATGTCTAAACAATGGAAGTCTTCGTGTGTGGCTTGTGCGTCATGGTACTGAGCACAACTTCTTTCCCTGATATCTCCCCAAGGTGAACCGTTTTAAATATAGAACTCGCATTTGCAGGTGTTCGCATTCGGAAACCCCATAGTCGTCCAGCTCATTCTGGGGAAGGTAATAGAACCACTGCTTCCCACCGAGCTCCATCGCCCCGGGAAATGAAGCCGAAAGAGCTGAAAAGAGTTCTGCACCTTGACTTGGTAAAGCGTCTATCGCAGAGTGTGTAGGAGCTTTATTCACTTGCAGGCTTTCCTGACGGCGACCTTAACTCCAACCACTGCTGGGTATACATTATTCCTGACTCATGACTGTGTTCTGACCAGACCTAGCTTAGTACCTACCTACAGAGATGGCCGTGCTTTCAGCTGGTTTACCCAAACAGGTTGGACCCCACTGGATGATAATCCCGGCCAGGCCTTTCGTAGAGGCCTTCAATGGCTGACGTGTGTCATGATCGTCTCGGACATCGTTTAAAAGTCTCCAAACTCTGGTCCCATATCAACCTCGTCCTGATTCTCGACCGCATACGCCACAAAGTCCCTGCAAACATTCGTCTCGCTCCATTGCCCCATCACCCCCCTGTTCTTTCCAATATGCCGTGGCAAAAGATTGATCACAGCTTCACGCATACTCAGCTGGACTACGATGCTGAGCCCAATCTTCAGCCGTGCATCAAGGTCTCCGTATTCTTCAGGAAGATTGACTCCATCGACTACGACACGTTCTTTGGTCACTGGAGCACGGTGCACGCTGATCTCGCTGTGGCCACGCAAGCTTTTCGTCAACACATTGTACGATACGCACAGGTAAGCGTTTTTTTCGCGATGTGCACGCAAAGAGTAACAGCTGAGACGGCAATAGCATCACCAGACGCCGGAGATGAAGGAGAGAGCTCGAAGCCTGGGAGAAAGGCTTCTGGACTATGATGGGTGTGCGCAGCTATGGGTTAGGACTTGGAATGACTGGCTGGCCTTCTACAATAGCAAGGAGTATGCTGCAGCCTTGAGCGACGACTGCAACAGATTCATGGCGCTCCCCATGACGTACATGGTCGGTTACGAAAACCTCGTCGTCGGTGATGCTTCAAAGGCCACGGGTGGCAAGGACGGCATGGACATTACGTTGTTGAAGGTTTAGCCCAAGGGAAATGTCGAGTCAGCGGGATTTTGAATGATTGTCGCAGCAGCTGGTTAATTGCTGTGGACTAAATATAAAGCTATGAGATCATAGATCTACCACTAATGCCAAACATGAGGATTACGTTCTGTAATTCCTTTTGGGAGATCAATATGCTCTTTCCTATCCCCATGAGAAAACATATACTGTTATTCTCAGGGCCATCATCAGGAAGCACAAGAGTTCTGATGATGCCCCCATGTTGCTTACTGTCTGTGATGTTGTTGTATACTAGAACCTGGGACAGCTCGCATGCTGGTATCACTCTCTGCACCTGCTAGGGATTGATATGTGAAGCAAACGTCACTTATTATACAGTGGGGTCATATTCGTGTGGTGCTATATCAATCATACAGTAGAATGTAACTCAGCATTGCCTGGGTTTCTTTTTCAAGATCCATGGGGATGTGAAACCGTTAAACCCAAATTTGGGGATCGCCTGGGTTCATAATCACCGTATGTGATGCACAGATATGGGTGATCACCAGGTGCTGAGATTCACCGCTCTCAGTAGCCTGCGATCCACAGCGCACATGATTTATGGATCAGATATAAAGTGGTGATTCAGACCATTAGCAGTGGATCAGAGAGATAATATCAATTCACCACAAGTCTTGTATCACCAACCCTAAGGTACCTATTGAGAGCTCTCAGTATAGCTCAAGTAGTGAATCGGGGCTCACGTAAGCAGTGAAGCCTTCTCAACAAAAGAATGTTTACCTCAAGCAGTTATAATACGAAATTGAAGGTAATCCTATCTAAAAGCATGTAAACGCTGCAGAACGATGTGGAAGATCAACATTCGACGCGCAGTGCGTTTACCGTTGCTCACTGTCTCTTGTCCAACTCCCCGACCTTACAACAATAGGATAACGCGCAATACTAAGCCACTGAATATATTCTTTACTGAGGACCGCTTCAATATTTCTCTTGAATATGACAGGTTGCAGCGAACAGCTTACAGAGATTCCTGCATATACTTCCAGGCCCTTGACTACATTTGTTTATTTACTTGATTGACGTTATTACTCTAATGGGACGGCTCTCTACAAGCCAACACAATGCGATAAATATCATTGCGCGATGAGCATGACCTGCCATGCAGTGTATTATAGCGCAGTTGAATATCACAATGCGTGAGTGGCTACATTGTTATGGTCCGACGAGAGCGAAAGAATTGCCTTCGTGGAATGAATCCAAGACGGCAGCTTCATGTTCGTTCGTTCATTAGGAATTGATTTCCGGTCCGAGCGGCTTTGCTCCGGACCTCTGCTGCAATGCTGGGCCGCATGTCCATCGGCCGAGGCTATGACCCGCCCCGACGGAAGAGTGTGTGTGGTGTGTGCCCACGGCTGTCCAGAAGAGGCATCGGTCGCGAACCGGCTGGATGTGCGGGGTCGTTTGGTCGTGCGCCGAGGCTTTGAATAGATAAGACAAGGGTGGGTGGCAGCCCATTTGCCACGCTTGTTCATTGTGCCACCAACAAAGTTCATCTACACCCAGGTATTATTTCAAATTTGCGACAAATACGAAGCGCCTCAAACAATATGTCAGCAATGAAGTGCGTCGTCTTCGATGGGCCGAAGCAGATATCAGTACAGAACAGACCAGTCCCCACGGTCAGGGATGCCAAAGACGTCATCGTAAAGGTCCGGTACACGGCTCTGTGCGGCAGGTATGATGCACAGCACCATGCCAAGATTGTATCCTGACGGCAATGACAGCGAACTTCATGTCTTCCGAGGCCATCAACCATCTGCACCAGGGTTTATCATGGGCCATGAATTCTCTGGGACGGTACACGAGGTTGGTTCGGACGTGAAGAACCTCAAGGTCGGCGACAAAATTGTCAGCCCTTTTACCGTCAGCTGCGGAGAGTGCTTTTATTGCTCCCGAGGATTTTCGTCCCGTTGCAAAGAGTGCCTCCTTTTTGGCTGCCCCCTGCTTGACGGCGCGCAGGCTGAGTACGTGAGGGTCCCCTGGGCGGACTCAACGGTTGTCAAAGCTCCCCCCGGTATCGACGAGCTCAAACTTTGCCTCATGGCCGACATCTTTCCCACAGGGTTTTTTGCTGCTGAAAACGCATTGGCGTCGCAGAGCTTTGCCGAAGAGGCGGTGGTTGTCTTGATAGGCTGCGGTCCAGTTGGTCTATGCGCCCTCATTGCGGCCTTGGAGTATAAGCCCAAGGCCCTGCTCGCAGTCGATGGTGTGCCTTCAAGACTGGAAAAAGCGAAGGAACTTGGGGCCGAACCTTGGAATTATCTGACACAGGCAGAAGAGCTCGAAGCAAGGGTCAAGGAACTGACCGAAGGTCGAGGTGCGGACATCGTCATCGAGGTGGTAGGCCACAGCTCTGCGTTGGATACAGGCTTCAAGCTTCTAAGGCCTTGGGGAACAATTTCAAGCGTGGGTGTCCACAATGGAGAGATCCCATGGACGGGAAACCAAGCATATGGCAAGAATCTTACGGTGAAGATGGGCAGATGTCCAGTTCGAAGCAAGTCAACCCCGCAAAATGGTTGTTATTCAAGCAGCTAACCCCAGATTTCTACAGGCATGTTCCCTCGCGCACTAGCTCTTCTCGAGAAGAAGCAACCACTTCTGGAGTGAGCATACCACTGGTCCTTTTCTGTTGACCAGTCAACTAACGACTCGCAGCTTCATGACTGACACTATCATGCCTCTCAGCGATGCCGTCAAAGGGTACGAGATCTTCGACAGCATGAAGTCCCTGAAGGTCATATTTGATGCCGAGAAATGATGGGAAAGATGGTTAAGTAGCCTTAGCAAACGAGTCCTGGTCTTTTCGCCATGAGCGCAATTTTTGTGTAATCAAACTGTTTTCTATGGCAGCTCAAAGCTACGTCGGACTTACATCCAAGATATCTAAAGGTTTGACAAGTTTGCCGTTGCGATAAGTCCCATCCACCAAATACTTTCGTTTTCGATCTTCCTGCGGCAATTCATCCAGAAACCCCCATCTAAGCTTCGTTTTCCAATCTGTCAATTTCCATCCGTTAAGAGTGCCGGCCGGGAAAAGAGGCAGGACCTTGCTTGCGATCGGATCATGCGCGATAAGTACAAGTACATCCCCATTCGCGTCCAGACTCTTGAGCTTATCTATACTTGCACCTGCTGCTGGCGGATTCACATACCAGGAGTCTTCCCTAGCACACACCTCATAGTATGGAGTGGTTCTACAGCTATAAGCCTTTGGGTGACAGCCCGTGAATATGGCTGCAGGATACTCTTGGGCTGGGTTGTCATCGCGGCTCAAGTCGCTGGAACTGATTGACGATGGCATCGGGAGGTAGGGTGTTGGTCTGAACGAGCCACCAAAGTGACAAATGTCGGCACCAAGAAAGGCGAATGAGCTCTCGTCTGTTCTGACGAGGGCAGAGATGTGCCCAATGGCGTGGCCCGGGGTGCTCAAGATGTACAAGCTGCCGTCTCCGAAGAAGTCTCTTGCTGGGTACCCTGCGACATTCTGACAGTCGGAGAAATCCATCTCATGGACCTCTCGGCCTTTGAAAGCGTCTTCGTAGAGTGGAGAATTTTGATTTGTTGGGTAGCCAGGCATGAAGGCGTCCGAGAACCCTGGCCCAACAACCAGGGCCATGCTCTGGGGGAAAGATGCTGGGTTCCCCGTATGATCGTAGTGATGATGGCTCACAATGGCTGCCTCGATATTCTCGAGATTAGTTCCACCCTTGATCAGGATGTCTGACAGGTCTGAGTCGACCCTGATACCAGGGACTTTGAGGTCTATGACATCCGCGATGGGAGCCGGCAGATTCCAAAAGTCTTTTCGGCAACCGAGATCGAAGAGAAGCTGTCGGCCAGAACTCTGATGCCGGATAAGGAAGGAGAAGGTCGGCAAGTTCCACAACTCATGACCCTTGATTGGCGGTTGTACAAGGGTGTCGGCAGGCACAGTAAGATAGCAGCTGGTATCGATCATAGACAGAGTGCAGGTACAGGTGCCTTTGGGAATTAGATGGGCTGGGGCCGCCAACGCTGGAATTTCTTTGGGCATGGCAAAGATTGTACTAAAGGCACGATATGGCTGGTGTCTCGGCTTGTCTTACATGCCCTTGGCTCAGAGTTGGTGGCATCACCCTTCCATTTAAAAAAGAGCGGTCCACCCCCATCCTTGAACCCCCACACAGCCATTGCCTATTTGATATGAAGCTAGCAAGTTTACGAATTTCAAGGGTATACAACTTGAACTAGGGGCACTCGGGCGTAGGGACGCCGATCTGTCATCTGTGGCTCCGGGAAATGTTTCCGGGGCTACCCCGGTGATCGACAGCTAGGTCTCGTCACCCCGCGCTCTCCCCTACCCAACCACTCAAGGCTGATGCACCATTCCCCCACACTTCCGGCTGGGAACCTTTACCGTGATATGCTAGCACAACCGGTTTTACGCTCTAGGGAGGCAGGAAGAAACTTGCGGCAGCTTTCAGCAAGCGTCATTCCTGTGCAAGATGCCTTCTTACTTTCTTACCCTACGCAATGAACAAAGCTGATCATCATTCTCCTGACACCTCCCAACAACTTGCACGATTCTAATTCAGTCTTCTCGGATCAGCCATTTATTAGAAAGCCGTTCAGTATGGAAGTGAAATCCTTGAACAATGAAATGCGAGACGAATCCGAGCACGCCGAAACTAAAGAGAACAACAGAACCAACCAAAAGACTTTGATCGACGTTGAGACTGAGGTGGGGTGTTGAAGGTATTCAAACGGTAGCCGTCCGCTGACAGAGCTTAGAACGTATCGTTTGATCCAACGGAAACCAAACGACTATTGCGTAAGATCGATTGGCGAGTCCTACCACCGTTAACAGTTCTGTATATCCTGGCGTTCGTTGACCGCTCCAATATTGGAAATGCCCGTATTGCGGGCATGAACGATGACCTTGCTCTCACTGGACCACAGTACAACATGGCACTGACGGTCTTTTTCTTTCCCTATGCGTTATTTGAAGTGCCAAGCAACATCGTTCTCAAGCTCATGAGACCATCTCATTGGCTCACCTTACTTGTCATTGCTTGGGGAACGGTAAGTCCCGATGTTTGCAAGTCACGATTTACGCGAGTCTGATGTAGCATAGGTCGTTACACTTCAAGGGATAGTGAGGACCTACGAGCACCTCATTGTTACAAGGGTTCTTCTTGGTGTGACTGAGGCAGGATTCTTCCCAGCTGCCACGTACCTTTTGACCACTTGGTACTGTCGCTGGGAGCTGCAGACTCGTATGGCTATATTTTTCTCGGCTGCGTCACTAGCCGGTGGTTTCTCAGGCCTACTAGCCTTTGGAATTCAGCATCTGGATGGCGTTGGGGGTCTGAGTGGTTGGCGGTGGATCTTCATCATTGAAGGCATTCTCACCGTGCTGGTAGGAGTTTCCATCCCTTGGATTCTTCCCGATGGCCCGAGATCTGCATCATTTCTGACCGCTGAAGAAAAATGCTTCCTCTTCGCACGTATGCAGCATGACATTGGCCTGTCTGACGGCGAAGGCGACGACCGCGACCAAAAGTTCGACTGGAAGCTTTTGTGGTCAGCCATGGCGGACTGGAAAATCTACTTGGCAGTCATCATTTATTGGGGAAACAGGTAAGTTAACTCATTGACATCAGATAGCGGGATATCCTAAGTATGACGGACACTAAATCTTTCTTTTCCACAGTATCAGCGTCTATGGTTTCAGTTTTGCTGCGCCGACCATCATTCGAGAGCTTGGATATACCTCAGCACAAGCGCAGCTCCTGACCATTCCGATCTATCTTTTTGGCGCATGCTCTACAATTTTCTTTGCCCGTCTGGCTGATCGGCGTAAAACGCGCTGGGTCTTCATTGTGATACCTTTTTGCATCGCCCTGGTCGGCTATGTTGGTGTGCTCAGTATCCCACACCCCGGTCTTCCCGGCCTGACGTATTTTTTCCTTTTTTTCATCACAGGCGGGCTTTACCCTTCAATCATCGGGTGCATCTCCTGGGTTGGGAACAATCTTGCCCCCTCTTTTAAGCGGGCTATTGGCATGGCACTGCTCATGACCGTTGGCAACCTCGGTGGCGCCGTTGGTTCGAACATATTTGTGGAAGACCAAGCGCCTCAATACTGGCTAGGATACGGACTCTCTGCGGGTATAATCCTCGCGGCTATTATTTCCACTGTCATCCTCCAACTTTTTTTGAAGTACATCAATGCAAAGCGCGCGGAGATGTCAGAAGTGGACGTATGCAATCGTTTCACAGCTGGTGAGTCCACGCCAGATACTATGACCTGACACCCGTGGCTTACATTCTATTGCAGAAGAACTTCGCCTGATGGGGGATAAATCACCGCTTTTTCGCTACGTGTATTGATAGGACGTAGCCAAATTCACGACGACCTGCACGATTGGTGTGGGAATCTGGATGGCATGAGTCAGCGCAGTCTGGCGCTTCTGGGGTGCACCACGCATCCGAATGGGGACATGCGGAAAAGGATGTGTTGGTAGGCAGTTTGTGCTATTAGGATCTTGTTTTTACAAGTTTTAGGATGATGAGTAGCTTAGCGACGATAGATTGGCGTTCCATATCAACCTGAACGCTGGAAATGTGATCAAGAGCGCCAGGCCGCATGTTTTCTGGAAACCTTTCGCCCATTTAGTGGCGTAGGCTAAATGTTCACGCTCCCAAGTCATTGCTGGAGGGCCTAGACACAGCCAGTCGCGCTGGTGTGGGTTACACTGGCGCCTTGGGAGTGTTGGCACGGCGGTGGTTCGCAACATGGGGCAGCAGCGCTACCACCCGTCCCCTGCGTTACCCTAAATCTGGAAGAAAGTCCCCGGTGTGGTTCATCGACTGTTCTGACTCAGGGATGCCAGCACGCTAACACGGCCACGAGACGCCGGAATCTAATTCCGTCAGGTCACAGCATGATGGTTCAGCGGGGCTTCGTGCTCCCGGCACCACTAAGCTGGTGTGGCACCGAACGTCCATCCAAGCCATCCGAGGGGTTGTATAATCATAATCAAAATCCGCCCTCGGTAAACCCAAGCTCATGCAACAGAGCATCATTTTTGACTCCAAAAGAACCACGATGGGCACCTTTTTGCTAAGATTTACCATTCATGCAACAGAGCTATCCAGCCTAGCCTTCCACACGTTTTCAAGATTGACTCCACACTCCTTCAGAGAGCCCACGACGACGCAAAGATGGGCTCCGCAGGACAGTACAGGCTCCGCATAGCATCCGCCTCGGGATCAGTAACCGACAGACGTCATGGTTTTGCCGACATTGCGAAGAATGAAGACGTATCTTTCATCGTGGGCGACTGGATGTCAGAATACAATATGACGACCCGCGCGGGCGGAAAGGTGGACAGCCACGGCACCTCCGATGAGTTCGAGCCGTCTTTTTTGGAAGCATTCGTCCCGGCGCTTCCACACCTTGCTTCAAGGAAGATCAAAGTCGCAGTCAATGCTGGTGCAAGCAGCACAGAAAAGCTTTATCAGACGGTTGTTGAAAAAATCAAGGACTTGGGTCTCGATTTAACCGTGGCTTGGGTCGCAGGAGACGAGGTATTAGAGGCTTTCCAGAAATCCTTCAAGGAAGGAAATGACTTCAAAAGTCTGACGCATGGTATGGGATCCTCTGACTTCATCACTGATACGCACTGCTGACAATATTCTAGGTCGAAACCTGAGGGATTGGGAATTCGAACCAATCTACGCACAGGCGTACCTAGGTGGTTGGGGCATTTGCGAAGCTCTGAAGCAGGGCGCCGACATTGTGCTCTGCGGACGCGTGGCGGATGCATCTCCCACCATTGGCATTGCAGCTTACCACTATGGATGGAGTCGAACATCGTACGAGGAACTTGCAGGCGCTTTTGTCGCTGGTCACTTCATCGAGTGTTCAACATACGTGACTGGCGGAAATTTTTCTGGTTTTAAAAGCCTTCCTGGCAAAGTCACGAACCTCGGCTTCCCCATCATTGAAATGGCAAGCAATGGCCACTTTATCGTGACAAAGCAGGAAGGCCGAGACGGCATGGTGACAGTGGATACCTGCAAAGCGCAGCTCTTGTACGAAATTCAAGGCCCGCTTTACTACAATTCCGACGTCGTTGCTCGGCTCGATGGCATCGAGATACTGCAAAGTGGAAAAGATCGAGTGTGAGTCCAAATAACATGATGGGAAAATCTACTTCATTTGAACTGACTTTTTGACAGCCTGGTCACTGGTGTTAAAGGCATGAAGCCGCCACCAACGACAAAGGTAGGAATTACAGCGAAGGGTGGCTATCAAGCTGAGGGTCATTACTTCCTCGTAGGTCTTGATATCGAAGAAAAGGCGCATATGATAGAAACACAGGTGAGGCATTTGCTCGACGAGTCCAGGTTTCACTGCCTCAAGTTCCGCACCAACGGACGTTGCCCCGAAGACCCGCGTAGCCAGGATGCCGCTACCGTCGACCTTCGAATTTTCGCCCAGGCGCGCAATGAAGAGGACTTGGCCTTGAGCAACTTTTTCCGTCCAGTTTCGGATGTCATAATGCAGAGCTATCCAGGTGCCACGTTTGGTGTTGATGCTCGCCAAGCTCAACCCAAGCCTTATTATGAATATTGGGTCAGCCTCCTACCTCAAGCCAGTATCAGCCACGTTGTGCACCTCCCCAGTAAGGGGCTAGAGCTTTCGATACCCCCTCCATCAGACACAGAGGCATTCGTTCAGGATCAGGATACTTATGAGACCTCGAACCCAGTTAACGTGGATAGCTTTGGCCCTACCACCAGAGCTCCCCTCGGGTATATCGTTCATGCGCGCTCTGGTGATAAGGGGTCGGACTGCAACGTGGGATTCTTTGTTCGACAGGCTGATGAATGGGACTGGTTGCGCAGCGTCCTCACTGTTGACAAGATCAGGGAGCTGCTTGGAGACGATGATACTGGCAAGCCTATCTCCCGCTTCGAATTGCCTAATATTTGCGGTAAGCTCATGGTCTCTATTTGGAAGTACCCCTCACTGATTAGATCCTAGCGGTACACTTTTTACTCAAGGATCATCTGGATCGTGGTGTTGCTTCAAGCTCTACGTATGACGTGTTGGGAAAGAACTTGGCGGAGTACCTTAGAGCCAAACATGTGGAGATCCCTGACCGGTTTTTGGAGCGTGGAAAAATATGAACACGTAGAACGTTTAGAATCATCATCCAGAGGACGATATGATTTGCTGCCCAGTATCAATTATTTTTATGCTACCTAAAGTCATTGCAAGTGTCGAGGAGTTTCTGAATTTGTGACTCCCATCTTATAACTCAATCAAGCACCCAATTATTATCTTACAGTATAAGGTGTCGCTCTTTGGGATACTGACATGCGTAGTGTCCTTCATTGAATGCTCCATTTCGTTATGCATGTCTAGCTCATGTCTCCCAAAGTAATATTCTTCATCACCTGGAACTCAGCAAGGCCATACTTGCTGCCCTCGCGGCCCAGACCAGACTCCTTGACACCACCAAAAGGCGCCTCTGCGGCACTGATCTTCCCAGTGTTGACCCCCACCATACCAACCTCAAGCTGAGTAGCTGCGGCCCAAATCGTCTTCAAGTTATTGGAGAAGAAGTAGCCCGCCAACCCAAACTCCGTGTCGTTGGCAAGCTCAATGACCTCTTCCAGAGTGTCGAAAGCAAAGACAGGTGCTAAGGGCCCAAAAGTTTCATCGCGAGCAACTGCCATGGCGGCAGTGACGCCAGTGAGCAACGCAGGCTCGATGAAGTTGCTCCCGAGGCCGAGATCTTCTCTTGTCTGACCGCCCCAGATCAACTTGGCGCCCTTCGACACGGCGTCGTCAATGTGACTTTTGACCTTGTCAACCGCAGCGCGGTTGATGAGTGGACCGTGTGTCACTGTCGGATCCATGCCAGATCCAACCTTGAACGACTTCATACGCTCAAGAAGTGCATCAATGAATGCATCGTGTATACCCTTCTGCACATAAAGACGGTTTGCGCACACACAGGTCTGACCAGAGCAGCGAAACTTGCACGCCAAGACGCCGTCCACAGCCTTGGATATGTCTGCATCATCGAAGACAATGTAAGGCGCATTGCCTCCAAGTTCCATCGACACCTTCTTCATTGTACCAGCAGCCTCTTTGGTGATGAGCTTACCGACACCTGTAGATCCAGTGAAGCTGACCTTCTTGATGATGGGGTTGGTGTACAGCTCAGCAACCGCTGATCTGTCCCGCGTTGGCACGACCTGAATGACATTGGGGGGAAATCCAGCTTCCACCGCCAAGTGTGCGAGAGCTAGAGCGCAGAGTGGGGTCTCGCTCGGAGGCTTGATGACACATGTGCAGCCGGCAGCGAGTGCTGGGCCGAGCTTTCTCGTGATCATGGCAATTGGGAAGTTCCAGGGAGCAATGATGGCACAGACGCCGATCGGTTGTCGGATAACAAAGTTGGTGCTGCCCGCATGCTGAGATGGAATAATATCACCATAATTTCGGATCGCCTCCTCCGCAAACCAGGTGATGAAGCTTGCGCCGTACTCGACCTCGCCTTGAGCTTCCGCGAGCGTTTTGCCGTTTTCCAATGTGAGTATGACAGCAAGATCTTTAGCGTGTTGTCGAATGAGTGCTGCGTACTTGTGGAGCAATTTGGATCGATCGTGCTCCTTGGTGTGTCTAAAATTCCTGAATGCAGCATTGGCGTGATTGATGGCACGTTCGAAATCGCCCTTCGTCATGTTGGCGATGTTAGCGATGACGCCATCTGTTGCCGGATCGTATACAGCAAATGTTTCGGATCCTGAGACCCATTCTCCGCCGATAAAGGCATCCTCTCGTATTAGAGAATGATCGCTAACAGCTGATTTCAGCGTCGTTGGGTGAAGTTGAGCGGCGCCACCCATGTTGATTCAGGCACGACTGATTGATGCTTGATAATACTTGAACAGGTATAGGACATATAGCGCAGCGCAATGGATGGGAGAGGTTTAAAAGAGCAAAATCATTGGCAGAGGTTGTGATCTGAGCCCAGCGCATCAAACTCCCCATAATCGCTTTATAGTGTTGAATGTGTAGCCGGAACTGTGTCAACGACACTTCCGGTCCCGGCTAGCAACCCGGTTGAATGCCGGTCATCGCGCGCCGCCGGCTATGCCACCAGCACCGGCATCACATTTCAGGTTAACCGGCATTCCATTTCCGACCGGAATCAATCCACTCTGGGATAGGCTAACTCCCACACTAAGCGAAGCCTCATGTTCCACAATCAACCCTCAAAGTCCCGTACATCGAAAGTGCCATTTGCCGTGAATTGCCGGTTTCGTGGCTGGACTACCATTGCCAGTTGTATTGGCGGGTGGTATCTAGCCTGCCTGCCTCAAAATTGAAATTGGAACAACGGCGAGCTGGACGCGTTTGCATCGATACTCCTCGTTCAGTGGACGTCATGGCCGGCCAGTCGCACGTGCCTGATTGCGTGGTCACTATGCAATAGTATGACGAGAGTGATGATGAAAAGTCGAGGCAACAAAGGTTTAGTAGAGCGTGTGTCAATCAGACTTCTCGCTTCGCCATTCACTGAGGATTGGTATTGTTGCCGCTCAGACAGCACGTGACAGCATGATTGGATTTTGAAAACGATGTGACTTAATTGATGTCTACGAAAGAGCACCTCGGTCTAGATCTCTATCCCTTGACTGGGCTAATGAGAGACCGTAGTGGCTGAGGCAGGGATTCCATGGTTGCGAATGCTTTGCCCACAACTGCACCAAGTATGACAGTGCTAAGCAGAGTCGTGGACGCCAGAACATGTCTCCCCAGCTTCCGCACTGGCCAAAATACGGAGCCCCCTTTCATGGAAAAGTCGGTCCACCTCGGGAAGTAAGTTGCTTTCCAGAACGTGGCGGCTAGGCCAGGCCAGGCTGCCGAATTGCGACCAGCAGAGTTGATGTACCAATTGCTACACCCTGCAGCGAAAACGGTCTCGGCCAAGACAATATCAAGATCTCTGACGAAGGTCTCCTCAGCCTCTGAACTGACTTCAATTGTCGAAGCATACCCGTCGATGATAGGCTTCATTAGAACATTGGCAATGTAATCCACTTGCACCTCAATTGAGTATATGACAGAATTGAAGGCTGGAAATGTATTCGGGCCGAAGCTGTTAAGATTGCCATCAGAAATGTCTCGCCAAATTCAGAGGGGAAGCCTGTGAACTTACAGGATAGCAAAGTTGGGGTGGTTGTGCACAAAAGTGCCCATGTAGGCCTGAGCTCCACGATGTTCTTCCCACTGCTCATGCAGAGACTTGCCATGCCGACCCATGATCTTCATGGGTGCTAGAAAAGATGACACATTGAATCCAGTGGCTAATACCACGGCATCGAAGTCCTCGGCGACACCATCTTCGCTAACGAGGCCTGTCTCTGTGAATTCTCGTATACCCTGTGCTAGAAGTTCCACATTGTCGCGGCGGAGAGACGCCAAATAGCCCGGGTCATAAATACGTCGCTTGCAACCCAGCGGGAACTTGGGTACAATGAAGTCATGATACCTCTCTGGCGCCTCACGGAGGATATACCGCCTTGCCTCATCTTCCAGTTGCAGCCTTGCACTGACCTGGCTTGCGTTTGAACCGTAGACGGAGGCGAGCTGGTCCGTCTTGAGGAAGAGGTCTAAACGGTGCCATCGCTGCCACAAAGGGATGTACTTGAAACAGAACTTCTCCCATGGTGTGAAAAGCTTATTTGGCCGTGGGTGATACCATTGAGGACTGCGAGCATATTGCGTGATCTTCTTGACGGAAGGGGCAATGGCCGGCACCACCTGTGCGGCACTACAACCGTTGCCGATGACAGCGATCCGTTTGTTGGTGTAATCGAATGAGTGGTTCCACTCAGCTGTGTGAAAAATGTGTCCTTTGAACTTGCTGAGGCCTGGAAATCGAGCCTCTCGCGGAACGGCGAACCCTCCCACAGCCGACAGCAATATGGCACATTGTTCCGTGAACTGCTGGCCCGAGTTAACGTCGCGGAACCTGACCTTCCAAGCACCCTGAATCCATTCGGCGCCCAGACATTCGATACCAAAACAAAAGTGTTTGCGCAAGTGGAACTTATCGACTGTTGACTCGATGTCTATAGAAATCACGTCAATCACTAGTCTTACGCAGCACGGGAGAATTCCACCGGCTATGACTTACACTCCAGTATTTCCTCTTGATCAGCCAAAGCCTGTGTCCAGTTCGGATTCAAATTGAAGCTGAAGGAGTAAAGATGAATTGGCACATCTGAACCGCTGGGAAGTTCAGCAACGTCATTGTCAAGGCAACCGGCGGTCGTGAAACTCACCATCCGGGGTAAGTGTTTGCGATCCATGTGCCGCCTGGGCCATCGCGCTTCTCATAGATCTGTGTCCTTATTAGCCTTACGTATAAGGTCGTTACTGGTATAACTTACAGTGAATTCTTCATGCCCCAGTTGACATTTGAGTTTGTGTGCCATGGCGATCGCGGCGACTCCGCCGCCAATGATAATTGTTTTCGACGAAGACATGATGTCAACTCAATGCACGTCAGTGTCTGATTACAAGAGTCTGGTCGTGGGTGAGATGAACAGACTGGACGTGGAGATTTGGGCAACCCTTATGGCAGTTGGAAAAGAGATTGGCCACTCTGCTGCATCGGTAGGCAAACACTGATCTACTCCCATACTGCGAAAAGCTGGCTCCGTCAATCGATTCCAGATTGCTGGCGAGGGAAGTTAAATCCGATGCCGAAGTGTTTCTCGATGTTCGGTCAAGTATTGACCACAACCGAACTGATCAACACTCCGGAGGCCTTGATTTCTTCGGGATTATAAATCCGAGCGATTCCAGCCGCATGGCCACTCACACGCCTCTTCGACCCAAGACCATAACACTGTCCCTAAAGGTCCATTGGCCATCTCGGGTACATAATTCAGATTGGAGAGAGACTCTGAACCACGCAATCTCGCTGGTTCGAACACAGATAATGGCTTTGGAGGATAGTATCCCCTCCCACGGCCCCTCGTACCAAAATGTCGACGCCCAGCGCCATGACAAAGGGTCACTGACCTGCCTGCACATTCGTGAAATATGTGGACCGCTGCGGGCCGATATTGGACACGGCAGCTGATCATTTCTCCGCAACTCGGGAACGCCTGAGCAAGAAGCGCCTCCGCCCGCTCACAAACCTGGGGTGCGCTAAATCCTAGCGTAAAGGCAGGGTGTAATGGAACGGCTAAGGGGTTGCAGCCCATAACCCCAGTAGGATTGCGAACAAACGGCCGTACCCTTGCCAGTTCCCCCTCATCCCCAGTGGCCTTTCCCCGCCTACCAGCTTTCCAACTTCGTTTTTGTCGTCGCGTTGAAGAAATCCCATGATTCACTCGAACAGGCTGGAGTTTCCTGATTGCGACCTGATTGCGAGGATCGAGAAGTCGCAATACCTTTCAGCATCATGGGCAGTAAGAAGCATGTCACCAGTGCTTGTCTCAACTGTAGGCGACGCAAGGTCAAGGTCAGAAGCTGCAACCGTGCTGGGTGAGCATGACTTAGCTGGAACTGACAATATCTCAACTACAGTGCGATGGCACAAAGACGTGTTCAAACTGTTCCACCGCACAGCTCGACTGCGTTTACAACGCCGAAGCTGACATGAGAAAGTGCGTGTATCCATCATGTTCCAAATCCATCTAGGTTCCTAACTTGATAATGCCAGAATCTCAGCCAAAAGAGTCATACTCGATTTGAGGGCGCGGGTTGCCGAACTCGAGGGTGTCCTCCGCGACAGCAACACGGAACGACCACAGGCTTCGTCGCCTGAAACCTCGGAAGCGACCACGGCGGATTCGAGAACAATTTCAACCACATACTCTCATGATATCGCACCGGCCCCGTTACCGGAAAGCCATAGCTCGCCCGACATTGAGGGTTCACGCGGGCCAGTCCCCCCTGAGCACAGCACCCACTCCATATCTACCGGATCGCCCCTACCCATATCTCCCTCCCAACATAACGCGGCGAATACATTTGCGGAGTCATCAACAGCGATGGAAGGAGAGCTCGCAGATTTCGGCATTCCACAACTTGGCCATTACAATAGCTCAACGTTCATGTACCTTGGTGCGACTAACAGCCCACCCCTACAGACCTTCGAAGACATGATTCCCGACCTCGAAAGTCTTGCAGATACAACAGATACCGAAGGTGACATCACCGACATTTTAGCAGCACGTGTGGGAGCGCTACGAATTGCAGAAGATGGTCAATTGCGGTATTATGGCCCAACTTCCAACCTTCATGTTCATCCAAATGGGTTTCAGTCGCTTTCCCGGTCAACGATTCGCCATGTTGAGACCGAGGGCCAAGGTGTTTTGCAGCGCTTAGGCTTGGACCGCGAAGTTTCCGGGCAAATCCAGATGCACCTGGCAAAGCTTTATTTTGCGTGGGAGGATCCAGTCATCCATGTCGTTGATGAGGATGTTTTCTTTGAGGAGAAGAACAACGCCACTCTGCACGGCAATAGTAGCCCCTACTACTCGGAAACGCTCAATAACGCAATGTAAGTTGGGCTGATCCCTTGCGTATTTCCCAATTACCTCTTTTGATGCTTATCATACCATCAGATGTGCAATTGGAGCAAATTTAGCCGGAAATCAAGACCTCGACCTGCCCGAACCTGCATCAGAATTCTTCTCTGCGCGAGCCAAGGCACTCTTGGACATTGAGATGGATAGCCCGACGGTGGCTACGGTTCAGGCTCTTGTTGTTATGAGTGCGTCGGAGGCTGCATTCACACGTGATGCTCGAGGATGGCTTTATAGTGGTATGTATCATCTGGTGGACCATTACTCTGCTCCTCTGGAAAGCGATGAAGCACCCTCTGACACTGTCCCCCACAGGCATGGCAGCACGACTCAGTGCGGATCTTGGCTTGCATCTCGATGTCTCGAAACACAAGTTGACAGGTCTACTAACGGATCGCGATTTGAAGATCAGGGCGATTGCGTTTTGGGGGGTATTCGTTCATGAGCAGTAAGATAGCATAATACGCCCTCTGGATGCAAAGCTAACTGCTCGAAAAGCATGTGGAGTATGTACGTCGGCAGACCTTGGGGTATGGGAATCAGGAACATCACAACGCCCCGGCCGTGGGAGTACGCCGAGACCGGTAAAACTTGGAGACCATACCCGCGTGCTGTTGGCCAGTCCGACATACCTGAGCCCGGGCTCGCATTCCCACTCGAGCAGTGTACAGATGCCAATATTTGTCTTTGCGAGATCATGAGGACAATCAACGCTACCCTGTTAGTCCACGCTAGGCTCAGTCTTGTTGATCTGTTTCCGAACTTCTGACCAACTTGATATAGGTACTCAGGTCGCCGACTGGACGCAAAAGCCCTTGCCGAGTTTCTTTTCCAAACTAAGCAAGGACTGAAGAGCTGGCATGACAGCTTAGATCCTGCGCTTAGACTCGAGACGTCTGGGCAAACGCATCCTGTAGTTCCTGCAGTTCTGCAACTTCAGTATGCCATCATCTTCCCTCAACTTCAGGCGAAGCTGTTTGAAGGCTCTGTATGTTGATAATTATTAGCATGCAATTCCACGCTACCATGATAGCACTCTACCGCCCTTACATGTCGAGCAGCCTTGTTCACAATAGCGACGATGGGCCAACGCTCCGAGACCAAGTCGCTTTGGGTGACGCAATTGCTGGATGTGTAGCAGCTGCCCACCAAGTGGCCGACATTCTTCGACGCTACCAAAAGGAGCATTCATTGCGCCGAACAAATATTCAGATCGTACACATCATATTCACAGCCTCGCTTGTGTTCATCCACGATGTTTGTACTATGACAGATTACAGCTCTCGGGTATCCTTGAATGATCTCCAGTTGTGCTGTCATGCTCTTGGTGAGATTGGACATGCCTACGGGAATGCCACCCGGGCTCTTGAGGTTGTAATTCTCGTCAAGAGCGAGTGGCAGCGATTAGCCACCTCGATGGAAACGCGTGGAGGTTTAAAGCGGCGGAGCGCAAGCATGACAATTCCCTACTCTCTTTCTTCAAAGCATGATGATGCTTTGGACCGAACCAAGCGACGCAGCAGGGGGTCAGTCTCGGCAAGTACCACCTCATACGATCGTTCATCATACCTGAAACCCCCGTCTTTCAGCGCATTTCAAATGCTGTGCGATAACTTCACAGGACAATCAATCGACATGACCATGCCTGCGATTGGCGAAGATCTGCCTCCCTCCTGGCCAATATCATCAGTTTCAACCTTTCCATTCGGCGACTTGATGGACCCAATGGGGTGGCCTCATACACACGAGCAGACAGCGTTCCTTACAGGTCGAAATGAAAATGGTGCGCCATCTGCTACGTTACAAGACGCGGATCTCAGTCTTGAAACTTCCTCGGTCAACCACAACACCACAGCGGAGACAGCAGTCGGTGATTCTTTATTGCAAGTCTCAGGGCAAGAGCTCGAGGGGCAGGTAGTAAAAGATTGTACGCATAGCACAGTCTAATCCAAATATCAGCCTCTGTATTTTTATCATTTACTTGTGATGTATCATGTGGATCAGGTGAACTGCCAAAATATTTTGGTATTATGGAATTTACTTCCAATGAACGTGTATGATCTCCGAGCGTACTCAACACAGCTTGGCACAGAGTCTTAGAAGAGTATACAATGATAGAAAGATCATTTCATGTCACTGTTGGGTCTAACGTGACAAGCGATGCTGACCTCTCGATCCGCAAGGAATCATACGGAGCCTATGTGGATTCTCATGCAGTCAGCCATTTCATTGCGCCAACGAGGCTATGAAGCCGGAGCCATCCATCTCTCTGAATGATCCGATCAGGGTACCAAGGTACAGAAGAAGTTCAGTCAAAAATTGCTCCACGCAACCCTAGACACGTTTTCGCCAGCTTGTGACTTCCCAGGAATTTCTTTGCACGACGTGAAATATATCTCGCTCCAAAGTGCTCTAGCAAGGGGATCAAATTAATTTTCTGCAGCTCCGACAACACGCAATATGCCGCAGAAATCGTATCATCTCTCCATATAAATATTTGATGCTGGCTAAAGCGACATCGGCCTCGGCCGGCTCGCAGTGACAAGCCAAGAGATTTGGATTAATAAGATTTATCTATAGCTCTTGTAGGTGCCTACTATGAAAGCTCGGCGCCGCCTTGGCTGGTAATATGACGTGGATGACATATTGGCTTCCGCGACTTGGGTCCTTCCGAGCCAGGACCCTTGCCACGGTGCCTGACCGATGGCGTACCTGATCACAAGAATTGAAAGTACTCGTAGGGAATAGCTTACGACATAGTCCATGATATGGACATGTGCGAACAACGCCAGCAACAGCCCCTTGTAGAACCTATACTGCACGAGCTCACTGATGGAAAATGGGTCAGAGATGTGGTGACGCACATTATCACCCCATTTCCTTTCCAAGGCCGACCTCTTGTGGTCATTCGTATCTGGAAGATTATCGGCGGTTCGAGACGTTGCTGGACTCGGGGATGAAAGGCCTTGACATCACACGAATCACACCACAATACCGCCTTCGACCCCCGCCGAAACGGCTGCAAGACATGATACCGACTTGCTATTTGAGCAGCAAGTAACTTCAATGGCGGTCTCTTAAGCGTACTGGCCAACTTTGATTTGATTTTCCTGATCAAGGGCCTGAGTGGAAATTACCGAGCATGTCTGGATGTCTCCATCGTAGCCCATGAACGCCAAGATATGCCAACCCGCTAAGAGCTGTCTGCCCAGTTTTCATCGTCTCCCTATCGTCGCATATAAAGCACGACATATCATGGGATCTTGCATCATGAGAGCTACGCGCGTCCCTCAAAAAGTACATGCGTGTGGCCTACGGCCACTGGGTGACTCCACGACTCATTCTGGCATAACCGACTACATGCATCCTTTGACCAATATTATGGTCAAGGCGGTGTATTACATCCTCTAGTGCTGGCTGGGGACAAAGTATTAGCATACTAACCGTCGACATCATATATGTATCGATGTGTTTTGTATTGGATGGGTTGCGTAACGTTAAATGATCACATCTTTCACTAGGCATCATCATGATCAGCACGTAATGATGCTCACTCATGAATTTCAATGTCCCTTTAAAAGTTCTCTAGGCACCCTCGTTTATCTACCATGTATTCACATGACATCATTAACAGAATACTTATCTTCATTCCATGCCCATGGCCAAGGCTTGATTATGGAACATAACAAGCAATACATCAGTCGTGTGCTGTTAACCTCAAGCCGACCCACTATCGCCATTTGCCGATGCCACACGATAAGGCCTGTGACGATCACCAGAACTATTCGTAACTTGGAGGCTGCACCATGTACTACTCACGACTGCCAAACACGAAATATCAGGACCGTTGAATCCGCCATGAACACCAAGAGTCTCGGCATGCAGACCAATGGGTCTGTCATTTGATCAAAACCCGCAGTGAAAGACTTTTGATGGTCCAGGAAGGCCGATCACGGCGACCGAGGCTTACATATGAGGCCTATGACTTTTTTTTTTGACCTTTTGTTCTCATTAGGTCTTTGTTGAAATAAAGACGACGATAGACAACTTTCCTCGAACCATCAAGATGTCCGATATTGAGAAGAATCGCCCCCCTCTTTCGGACTCATCCGATCGAAGCGACAAACAATCTGAAGCCGCGGAGAACAAGACGACAGAGCAGTCACAGGAAGAGATTGACGAGGCCCGTGAGCGTATTATTCGAGAACATCGTACTGAGTTGGAGCAGCGGGGTGAGGGCTTGGTCCATCAAGAGATTCCCATTCTTCCTCTCACCCAGTTTTTCGGAAAGAAAGATTTCGATATCGATGCAATCGCGACTCAGCCTTCCGTGTATGATAGCCCTGCTGCTGCTGCCTACTTCAAGCCCCATGAAAGCTATGAAAACCGGCATCGGTTCGATCCGGCTTGCAGATGGACATGGAAGGAGGAACTACCCCTCATCAACAAGATGGACCTTAAGAGTATGTGCCCAGCGTTCTTTGCAGACCGATACTCAACAGACCGATACTCAACAGTCTCTTTTACAGTCACCGTGTGGGCTTGTGTTGCCTTCTTCGGTCTAGACCTCGGTCGTGGCAACCTTTCGCAAGCCAACACCGATGACTTCCTACCAGATCTTGGAATGGACACCAACGGTACGCTTAGTAACACAGATCGCCCATGCCACATCCAAAGAACCATGCACTAATGACTGTAGACTACAACCTTGGAAACACAGTGTATCAAATTTCTTTCCTATGCGCTGAACTGCCTTCTCAGATGATCAGCAAGAAATTGGGTCCGGACCGCTGGATCCCCTTCATCATGTGCTCATGGAGCCTCGTCTCAGGAGCTCAATTCTTCCTCAGCGGTAGGACCAGTTTTCTTGTCACACGCGCTATCCTCGGCGTTCTGCAAGGCGGCTTCATTCCTGACATCGTACTTTACCTTACCTACTTCTTCAAGGGCAACGAGCTGCCGTTCAGGTTGGCAATGTTTTGGTGCGTGCGACGAATCACGGATATTATCGCGCCTATCATTGCTTTTGGTGTTCTTCGCATGCGAGGCGTTCTCGGATATGAAGGATGGAGATGGCTTTTCTTGATCGAGGGGATCATCATGCTGTCCATCGGCATATGGTCTATTTTCAAGATGGCCCCCTCGCCTACACAAACTAAACGGCCTTGGCGGCCAAAGGGCTGGTTCAACGAACGAGAGGAGAAGATCCTCGTCAACAGGATCCTACGTGATGACCCCTCCAAGTGCGACATGCACAACCGGCAGGCCATCAACCTTAAGATGCTTTGGCACTCTCTTTGCGACTACGAGCTTTGGCCCATCTACGTCTTTGGACTTCTCTGGGAGATTCCCGCCGGTCCGCCTGACCAGTACCTTACCCTCACCCTTCGAAATCTTGGCTTCGGCACCTTTGATGCCAACTTGCTCAGCATTCCTTGCCAATTCATTGGTGCCGTTATGATGTGCATCATGACCTATCTGTCAACAAGATGGAATGAGCGTGCTCTTTTTGGTGTTTTTACACAGTTTTGGTATCTCCCGAACTTGATTGCGCTCGCTATTCTGCCTTCTACAGCTGGCCCGTGGGCGCAATTCGCGATTGTCACAGTCTTGCTGTCCTATCCGTCTCGTGAGTCTTGATCATCCATGCGGACCAAGACATCGCTGACAGGTATTCAGCGCATGCCATGCACGTCGCATGGGGAAGCCGAAACTCCAATTCTGTGCGCACTCGGGCTGTATCTGCAGCCCTTTACAAGTATGCCAGCCCTCCGCGGTGGAGCCTCCGTGCTTAGAGGAGCGCTGTACACTGACATATCCTTAGCATGATGGTCCAGCTTGCTCGAGTGAT